GCGAGGGGTATCTGGCGAGCTGCGGTGATGGGCTGCGTAAGGTAGGAAGGCAGACGAGTTATCTTGCTGCAACGGTGATAACGTCAACGGCAGAAGCGGCGCCCGGTGGTGGAGATTTATCGTCGGCAGACGGCAAAGATACTCTGTACAGCTAATACCAACGACGAGGGACGGCTATTGCAAAGACGGCCTCATTAAGACTGGCGGTGGAAAGGGAGTAGAAAGGCGTATGATATGATGGAGAGTGTCAAGAAGCAGCGTTTAGCAGAAGAATATAACTCTGCATAGGCCAAAAAGAAGGTCAACGAGGAGAAGATGAGGAGAAGGGAAGGAGCACAGCGCACAGTATGGCTGGTGATTGCGATTGGTGAGGTACAGCACCGTACCGTACGCAGTACCGCCAATTCGACATGGATGCGCGAGAGACTACCGCCACCAAGGACAGGACCAAGACCCAGCCTAAGCCTACCTGTACCTAGTAAGGCAGGGAGGGAGGGAGGGAGGGAGGGAGAGACAGCCATGCAGGATAGGACAGGCCAACAGAATGACTGAATGAATGGGAGGGTGAGGGTGAGGGTTGTACCTTCGTTACCTTGGTGAAGTAGTAGGGAGGAGAAAGGCAAGAGAACACTGAAGAGGGCTGGGTGGGTTGGAATTGGAGCGAGCACGGTTACAGCATCTTCTGAGCTACTGCGAACAGTAGCGTCACCAACAGCTCCTGTGGGATGGTTTTCCAGACTCGGCACATGGCCCCTGTTAAGCACTCATGTCTCCTGGAGGTACACGTTGCACCTGAGGTACTTTAGCTACCTTAGCTCTGGAAGGTAAGGCACTACCTCATGTACTCCCGTAGAGCACGCAGTAATGGGGAATGGCATGGCGCGCCACTGGAGACCTGGGGTCGCCCATCTCTAGTGCCGATCTGGTCTGGGCTCCCCCATCAACTGAGAAGCATTGCTTCATGGCTTCATACAAACAACAGACGACGGCGACAGCGGGAGACTCGGGCGTACAAGACGTACAGTGTGCGTGGTCGAGGGGCGGGCACGCGATACGCTGCCTGGTTGGGCAATACAGAGGCAGCGCTTTCTCTGCTGATTGCTGCTGCTGCTGCCACTGTTGCCAACATACTAGGTTCCTAAGGTACCTCAGGTAGTTCTACCAATGCCTTTCCGCCTGCCATATCCCGTGACCAAGGCGGATGGGCAGCGCAGCACAGCATCGTCTGTCGCAAGAGATCAGCCAAGATAACGACACCATAGTGGACTAGACCAACACTGGTCAGGACAAGACAGGGAGATGCCCGGGCAAACCTAGGCGACCCAAGAGGAGACGAGCGAGTGACGACGGGGAGCTGGACGGACGCATGGAGACCTACCTAGTGTATCCGTAGTGTACTGGCTACCGTACGGAGTACTGGGGTTGCAGTTGGTGTCACAATCCAGGTGGGGACGGGCGTCGGCGCTAGCACCACGGACACAGCACCAGGTACACTGTACCTTAAGGTAGGTGCTGCATCCGCATCCATCCAGTGTTGGCCCCAGTCCTCTCCAAAAAGTGAACTGCCCGGTGAAGTGACAGACCAATTAACTCACGTACCTACCTACCTACCTATCTTACCTTGAGGTAGCCGTGTTTAGGCAATGAACTGTTGGACTGCTCAAGCCCCAACGTGTTGGGTGAGCGGACAGATGGACAATTGGCAAAACGAGCACAATAGTAGGTAAAAAGGTAGGGAGGTAGATCACGGTGCCAAACCACACGGCTTGAGCACGGTCCAAGCGGGGTTTGGTGGATCGCCCGCCGAATGGAACTTCACAAGGCTATCCATCCCTGCCTGTCTGCCGACCTTGAAACAAGACGAGTGGCAGCAGAGACTCAGCATTTGCACTTGCATCTGGACTTACTGCGTATATGTCGTCTGCACCTTACTGCGCTGCCATTATCGAAGCAAGCGTCTACCATGCAGTACGAGGCCCTTGGGGGCGCAGGTGAACAGTGGTTGGAATGGGGGACGTCAGTTGACGACCACATGGAAGCGTTCCCTTCCCGCTCCACAACCACGCGCCCCCACACTCATTCCGCCGCGTGCGAATGGCTCCCTACAAAATTCGCCGTAAAACTACGTACTGCATAGTACTTTTGTTTTGTTCCCTATTCTGTGTAGTTTACTCTATCGTGTTATTCAACCCGTACATTGACCCTGTTTGCAATGGGTGTAATTGGATTCTTTTCCTCCAGCACGAACCCTTGTCTGCACACGGCACCGCGTCAAGGTCTATCGTTGCCGCACCACATCCGCAACAGTTGCTCCCGGCAGATGCACCTGTGGACATGGCCTAGTTACCTTGCGGATACAAAGTAAACCTAAGGTAGGTAGAAAGAAAGGGTCCGGTCAGGGATCCGGCTCTATGGATCTCGGTTCTTGATATTCCCCGACGACAAGCCCCCCTAGGGGCAGTGTCTAGACCCGTCCACTCCACGTCAGGTCTGCTTCTGTTCCCAACATCTGCCTTTAGTGTACTTGATATCTTGAGCACCGAGGACGAATTCCGCGCACCCGAGATTACCTTGTTTACTTGCGCCCTGTATCAATTTTCTAGAAAGGTTTTCCAACTCTCAAGCGAATATCAGTCAATATAGTGCGTGTTGCAGCTATTTCCAGCTTCAAAGATTGGAAGCTATGTATATTTGAGAACCGTGTAACCAAACATATATTCGGTTCTGCAGCCCATGGGCCAGAGAGCGACAGGACAGGGCGGAGTCTTGCGTCTGCGTTGCATGCCCTCCTAGATGAAGTTATTGGTGGCGGATACTCTACATCATGCCCACGAACAACTAAGCCCTCACGCCCTCCAGCATCTCAAAGTTTTTGTATTATTTGTCTGCCGAGAGTTGAGAGTGGAAAGCACACTCCCTTCAATTCCACGTCCCACTGAAAGGCGGGGGCGGGGTAGAGGGTCCCTAATGCGTAAGTGTATGAGCGAGCTCCGGCACCGTACCTACCTAGTGTGTCTGAGGCCCATGCTGAATCCTATCACCTCAGCCACCGTTACAGACTTCCATTCCCGCTCTGTGCCTCATGTGGCTGATCCGCTCCCACACGTCCTACACGCGAACGTACTGGGTAAGGTGGTAGGCAGGCATCTTAGTACATGAGCTCTGGTACATACGTCATTGACAATCGCTCAATAACAATCGTAGATTCAGCTACGCCCATGCACTGTTCTGTTGAATCTGGAGCACATCATCTGCCTTACATAAGGCACCCATGTGCAAACGGCGGACGTTCCTTTTTTTTTTAAAAAAAAATAAATAAAAAAATTCCGGCACTTTGGACTATTTGGTCCGCGCTTTATGCGTGCCTGCGCAATCCCTTACTTGGTACCTGATCTAGCGATAAGGCAACAAGCGCATCTCACACAGAGCTCTGGTCTCGCCCTGCCAACTTGAGACAGCCTTCGGACCTAACGCTGTCTTGCGCGTACAGCTAATATCATCCGGCAGGTTTTACATATCAGTCGCTGTTCTTCCGTCTTCTTCGGCATCCGCCCGTGTGACTTTGCTAACGCCGACTTGGTTTCACAGACACACTCTACCATCTCCACCTCAAAGAGGTCTTCTCGCGACCCCGATCCTGCGATCCCTCTTAACGACTCGCAAAACATGATCAAGTCCACCTCGCTTGTCCGGCTTGCTGAAAGCCGTTCATGATAGAGGCCCGACTCCACAACAAACACTCTCCTCTCGAAGCCACAAAATCCGCTCCTGCTCACCTGGCTGTTGCGCTTGCTCGTCCGCAGCGATCGACTCCCGCCACCGTCAGACCAAAACACGTAACAGACAGACACTGCCTGCTTGACTAAGGAGAAACCATGATGTCTGCCCCGGCACAGGTACACACGTACGGCCCCAAGTGTCGCCTTACTCCCGTTGCGCACCCGACCCCGACCGGGCAGGACAACGGTGTGCCCCCTGTTCCCGGGCAATTCTTCTACTCGTCGGTGATGCCAATAGACGACCCGTTGTCGCCTGGCACGATCGCTGGTGCGTCCGATGCGCGGACTACTCGAGGTCAAATCCGTCCCTTTTCGTTAGGCGACAACAACGCTCTGGAGAAGGCTTGGCTCAGTTTCCTCTCCGAGGATAACGTGAAAGCTCATGAGCATTTAGTACGGAATCGCACCCTGAGTCCTGATGTTGAGAAGGCGAACATAAAAAAGCTAGAGCTTCTGGTTCGGCACCTGGCCGCAAAACATGGCCGAAAGCATGGGGGGATATTTCAGGCATCCGTAGTCGCAGGCGAAGACTCGGATATCCTCCCCGACACTCCAGCTACAGTTTGCTGTCCCGACCTTTTTATTGACGTGTCCACCGAACTACAAAACACATTTTGTGCCCTTGCGAGAAAACAACAACCCTCTCTGGGCCAGGACAATGTGGTTCAGGAGGTCATGATGGAACTGCGACGCCAACTTAGTACAAATCCAGCCGCCGATGACTCCCGGTCAACAGCCGGGAGCGTTCCCTCCTCGAGGCCTCGTGCAGATTCGGCGCGCTCAAGACAAATGGGAATTGTGGGCTCTTTCAGCCCCCGCCGTGAAGCCGCCAATGAATTATCTCGTTCTCAAAAGGACGGGATCACATATGGAGCTGACACCAAAGCGAGACCAAGATCTGATTCGCGCGCGAGTGAGCAAGCGTCTCGCCCATCGACCCCCGGCACGAGTACCTCATTCCGGCCGTCTGTGGATGATGGGATATCCGGGAAGCCTTTCGTCAGAGCAGGAATAAGGCAAAGACCACAAGACGCCTTTGCTACTTCATTTCCCCCTATCGAGACTCCCAGTGCCAATGGAGATGAACGCGAATTGCGAACTCCGCCCAAAGCACAAGAACCAACGAGGCCGAGGGCAAGTACAGTACAAATCGCCACACTGAGCGACGCGAGCTACAGAAGAGAAGCCATTGACGTCGTCGTTGGCGTATCTAGGCTTCACATGGTGTCCATTCCTGCTCTACAGATGAAACCGATTTACTGGTCCCCTGTGAATGACATCGCCGTGGTACTCCGTGCTACATGGTTCTACAGGTTCGTGAATGTTTATCAAGATATGAGTGGTTGTGGGCTGGGTCTGACAGCGATCCTAGAGATACAATGCTTCCAATTCCGCCAGCAGTAGCGAATCAACTAGAAGCTGGATACCGAGAGCTGCAACCGCATACTGAGACCTGGAGCGATGAGCTTCGCTGTGCGATTGAAGTCGGTCCGCTTGGCGAAGAAAAAGTGTCGCATCGTCTCTGGCCGGAAGATGTGGAAAATCTGAGCGATGGCGACAAGCAGACCGTCTCAGACCCCCGAATTTCAACAGATCCGTTCTGTGCTGCTAGCTGCTATCGTGGAGAAGCTGCGGCTGAAGGATCCGTCGATCCAACTCCAAAGTCTGCCAGCACGATGCCGCATCGAAGTTACGCCAGCTACCACGTCATTTACAAGGACGCTTCCCGAGCCTTCCTCTTGAAACCCAGTTTAAAACCATCGGCCTACTATGGGAGACGGCCAGTAGCTAAGATTATGAAGGGAATGACTATCGGCATCCCTGTAGTTCGTGGCTTTGATCGGGAGACGTGGGAACGCATCCACGACAAGAAGGGTAGGCGCGACACAAATTCTCAGTCAGAATCTCCTACGAGCGACCCTGCTGAAAGCGTCGGGCAGGACGTTTTATGTCCAGCTTGTAAGGCAGAAAAGGAGAAGGGCCAGGTTACCGACCTTGTGATGGTTGTACATGGCATAGGGCAGAAGTTTGCTGAGCGAGTCGAAAGCTTTCACTTCACGCACGCCATCAACGCATTTCGCCGGGAAGTCAATATGGAACTGTGCAATCCGGTGGTTAAGGGAGTCTTGAGAGACGACCAGAACGGAATCATGGTACTTCCGATAAACTGGCGCCACACTTTGTCATTCGAAGACGGTGGCCCGATGACGGAAGAGGACAAGGCAACCCACGTGCCTGATGGGTTCAGCCTCAAGGACATCGAACCTGGCAGCATCCCGGCCGTGAGAAGCATGATCTCTGATGTCATGTTCGATATTCCATTCTACATGTCCCATCACAAGGGCAAAATGATCAAGGCGCTTGTTACGGAGGCCAACCGCGTATACCGGCTGTGGTGTCGCAACAACCCTGGTTTTGCTGAGAAGGGGCGTGTCCATCTGATCGGGCATTCTCTTGGCAGTGCCATGGCGATTGACATCTTGTCCCGACAACCCACACGAGTTCCTAGATTGGACATGTCCATCAAATTGCCAGGAGCTGATTTCTTCGAGTTTGATACCAACAACTTGTTCCTCGTCGGAAGCCCGGCCGGATTCTTCCTGCTTCTCGAGAGAGGCATGCTCCAACCTCGGCGTGGCCGGATCAAACCTGGCGCTGATCAGAGCGATATACACGCACCGGATGTTACGGGACAAGTTGGCCGGTTCGGGTGCATTGCAGTAGACAACATCTACAACGTGCTGGCTAAGGAGGACCCAATCGCCTACCTACTCAACGGCACAATAGACCCGGTATATGCTTCAAGTCTCAAGACGGCTCATGTTCCCTCGACCACCAGTTCCATCTTCAAGTACGTTGGCAACGCCATGCGAAGTCTTGTGCCAGGCGCAACCCCAAGCCCCGCGACTATCGAGCCAGCGGTCACGCCCAAGCCCTCCGTCGTGCGTTTGCCGTCACAGCTCGAGTTGGAGGTACACGATTTCACGCGTGAGGAGATTGCAGAGAGAAAGGCGTACTTGTTGAACGACAATGGCCAAATTGATTACTATCTCAGATATGGCGGTGGGCCTCTGGAGATCCAGTACCTCAATATGCTGAGCGCCCATACGTGCTACTGGACGAGCCAGGATTTCATTCGTATGCTGTGCATGGAGGTTGGGAGGAAGCCTGGGAGACAAAACACGATTCCCGCCATGAGGGCTCAGAAGGCAACCAAAAGGATCATCGTTAACTAGGTGACTTATGCCGGACGGATGGGCGGACGATTTGAAATGAGGTTTGCAAGATTCAAACATAGATGCAGAGTCGTGACACAAAGTCATTCCCGCATGATGCGTAGACAGTGCGACTGGATCGTGGGTGAAGCACCAGATTTAGGTCTCTATCAGACAAAACATTTAATGTACATGGCCGTTTTCGCTTCCCATCCAGACGCTGACGGGCTCCAGCTTAGGTACCAGCTGCAGTCAATGAGCTGGCTCATCGAGAACCTCAGAATCCATCGTCGATCTCCATCATGTCCTGGTCAAGGTCATCGTCCATGCCGTATTCGTCGCCCTCGTCAGCTCCCAACTGCATGCTATCAACCCCGGCAGCTTCAAGCTGTTGGATCCGTTCCATGTCCATCTTCTCCTTGTGCTTCATCAAATCGTCGTAGCTCCATGTGCTCACACCCTCCTGGTCCTTAGCCCGGAACGGTTGAGCCATCTGCTTGAGGAAGCGGCGAGCGCTGCTTACAGCCATGTCGGTGCTGAGGTTGGTGTCGGCGTCGAGAAGACCTTGGTTGATCCATTTGGGCAGCTGCACTCGCTTCTTTTGGAATCTGCGGTCGGCCAGTACCATGATACCGTAGTCGTCCTTGCCTCTCAAGACACGACCCAGACACTGGGCAGCGTGTCGCATGGCGTCGAATGACAGGAAGTCGTTCTCGCGGATACGGTACGTCTCGCGAAGGAACTCGAGTCTCGCTTTGAGGATTCGGGACTCAGTGTACTGGAATGGCACGCCGATGCACAACACAGTACGGCCGTACTGGTGGTCGAAATCGATACCCTCAGAGACCTTGCCTCGAGCGACACACAGAAGAACAGCGCCGCGGCCGTTGCAGCACGCCGTTCGGTACGTTTCCAGCGCCAGCGAGGTTTCCTGCGCATCGGGTGTCTCGACGAGGATGAGTTTGTACTTCCAGACCTCTTCGAGGATGTTCATTCCCTGCCACATGCTGATGATGGACTCCATGTAGAGATAGGAAGGGAAGAAAACCACCATGCCATCCGGGGTGATTTTGGCAAACTCGGTCAGCAGCGTGCCGTAGTTTCGCACCACGCTAGGCTCGTTCCTGACCTGGAAACTCGTGGAAACACTCGCTTGGTCACTTCCACGTGTCACAATCATGGGCAAGAACGACCTTCGCGCTAACGTCATGCTGTATGACTCCTGTACCACGGTCGAGAAGCCAAGCATCTTCGGGTACATCTCAAGAGGGGAGATCGTTCCTGAAGTGATGATGACAGAACTGAACCTGTCAAAAACGGGTCGGATTGCGATTGCGGCGTCCAAACAAGTGAAGTGCAGGACAGGGTTTGGCACCTCTGCTGTCTCCGACTCGAATGGTTCTAGGATCAGGAGAAACCCCTTCTCGTATGTTGCTACCAGCGTCGCGAAGGTAGCTACCTCTTGCAAAGGCTGGTAGTCTTCAATATTCGTGAGCTCGAGAGTCCTCACCAAGGACGTCAATCGTTCGGCACAGAACCGCAGAGGCTTCTTCTCAATGAAGGTGTACTCCCTCAAATGAGCAAGGAAAGAAGGAGGTGTCTCTGAAATGGTGTGTCTGACCTTCATCCGTGTCTGGTATGTGGTTAACATCCGGCTTTCTGTTTCTGTCAGAGTTGCTTACCTTGAGATACTCGATGAACCTCTTCAGAAAAGACACGAAATGTTCAGCCCTTCTGATGTTGCCTGGTACCGCCTCCTTCAGCAAGTCGTCTGGCAAGGCTGCTGACTGTCAGTGAACGATAAGGAAGCGAGAAATCAGGGCATCATATACCTGGGTTGGCCATGAATGCGTCCTCCTGTCGCGCTTCGTCGGCATCCCGCAATCCTTCCACAAGCTTCTGATACTCATTCTGCAACTGCTCCTGGTCGGTGTCTCTCATCTCCGAGATCTTCTTCTCCAAGTTCTGTGCGCCCCTTGTTGCTTTCCGTAGAGAGTCCTCGGTGATATCTGTGCTTAGGGACTCGATGCAGACGTTGTCAATATTGTGGGCTTCGTCAAAGACGACAATGCAGTCTTTTGAGAGCTCTTTCGATACTCTCTCTGCGATCTTGGGGTCAAGTAAATAGTGGTAAGAGTAGATGATGACGTTGCAAAATTGCATCTGTTCGTGCTCAGCACAAGAAACAACATAGTGATCTTTCAATCCTTACCATGCGTCTTGCAGTGAAATATGGGCACTGCTTGTGCTGTTCGCCGTACCTCAGAAGGCCCTCAAAGGTCCAAACTCCGTTTGGAATGAGATTGTGCGGCTCGAGGAGATCCAGGTTCTATGTCGAATCTTTAGCCGAATGAGAAGCCACGACGGAAGCAATACCCACATCATGGTAAACGCATAGGTCGACATTCTCGCCTCGATCCTTTTTCTCCTTGACAAATCCAGCCGTGAGGCTTCGGCAACGAGCGTCGACGATGGCACCACTCTTTTCCTGCTTGACTGACGGGTGAAGACACAGGTTCTTTCGACTTGTCAGCCCGAGGCCTCTGAACTCTTCCTCCTCTCCAAGCTCTTGAGCGCGGTACTTCATGAGAGCTTTCAACTCTGCGAGGGCCTTTTCGATCTCAGACATGGTACCTGATATGGTTAGATATAGTCAAAGCTTCTGAAGAATTCAGACGTACGTGAGCAGTAGATGAGCTTGCGATGCTCTGGGTTATGTTGTTGATAGGCCACAATAAGTGAGAGCAGCGATACCGTCTTTCCTGTCCCTGAAGGCATCTCTAGGACGCAGTGGCCACCCGCGTCCAGAGTCTCTAGTGGATGAATTAACTAGTCAGTAAGAAGTATGAGATTCGAGGGGCAATGTCTAGCGAACACACTCTTGAGGTCGCACATATAGCTAAACACCGACAAAGTCAGCACTCATCGGGCTCAGGTTGCGGAGCGTGGTGACTTACGCATACTGCTCAGGGTATATCCTAGGGTAGGGGAAAAGAATTGGCAGATCACTGGGAAGGTGATGTTAGTTGTGGGTTTTGAGGACCGTGGAAGGTCGATCGAGGCTTACTCAATGAAGAACTTCATTGTGAAGGCGATAAGGGGCCCAAAGCCCGCCGATCAGCTATACTTCGATGAACCCTGTTTGAGACCTGGAAGTTTGGAAGGGACGGTTGTCAAAGATGAGGGAAGGATATGGGTGACGATGTGAGGCTGGCCAGGTGTGGAAGTTGCGGTGGACTTTGGTGGTTGGTCGAGGTTGAGCGAAAGTGCCACCGCGATAAAGGCAAGAAAAGCAGAAATTTGGGCAGGTTTGCTGTATTCGAGCAATCAGATACTGCATGCATCTAGGTGAATCAGTATCAGCTATTCTAGCCAGTCTTCTGCATGTCACGATCCGCGATGATGGAAAAATGTGATGCGCGTTGCTGTGCTGTGCCTGAAAATCGGTGACGTGAGACAGCTCTTGCCTTTGAACAGGCAGGGGGAGCTGTGGAGCCAAAGCGTCGCGGTTTCACGTGACCTTCGGTGACCATCACCTTCACCTTTCCGATTCTCGGTGTGAAGCGCGTTGACCATGGTGAGAAGAGGTCTAACTGTTGATAGCTGATCTTTCAGAAATAGACCGGCTAGGTGCGCATAAGGGCAATGATTCTCTTCGAATCCCATTGTTTTTCCGAATTCCAATTTTGTAAATCATCCCGGCGGGAGGAGCCATCCAAGTTGATAATCCAGCAAGTTGCAGATGAATATACACCCACATGCAACGGGGGCCGTCGGGCCCGTTGGAAGCAACACACGGAAACCTTGCCAGCCATATCTCTTCTTCGCCTTGCGAGTCCTTAAATGTTCCAGACAATCTGTAGTCCACGACCTTACATATCTCCCAGTCCGCATCACGCGCCTACCGGGCCTCGTTTACTGATTTCACAGCATTCACAGCCCGCGAGGCAGTTTCTCGATTGAGATCATTTTCTGATGTTATGCTCTGCCTTGACGACTCGCCTACGACAGCCAATAAGTCGACAAGTTGGTGGCGCCTACAAGGACTGCGCGGGATTGATCCGCCGACTACTTAGCGAATCGGGGGCCGGGGGCCGGGTCTAAGGGCGGCCGCCGCGGGGAAATAATAGGTACTGCTAGGTAGTAAGTAGACTCACTGCGCTGGGATGGGCCTGCAGCGATGAACTAGCACACAATCACCGTCTGCAAATGGATGCTCTACAGGCTCTACAGGCCTGTGACCGAGTAATCCTTCGCGGTAGTCAGCACTTAATCAGATGGCCTGGCTTGGAAAATCCCGGTGTGACTGATGCGAGCGCGCCTTTGGCACATGTACGCGCACAAGTACAGAGGCGGGACCGTCCCATCTCATCGCAGCTATCTTGACGTAGAAACCAAGAAAGTAAAGAAACAGACCATGGGACGAGCGGGACCGCCTGCCTGCCCGAGGAACGGTTGAGCACCGATTGACCGACGGGCTCCAGACACTTGGTTCGCGAGTTCGGATAGAGAGGTACACTGCGGAGTAGTAGTGTACACCTGCACCAACAACGGGGAATGAGCAAAAGCACAGTACTTTTTTACTCTGCCAAAGTCCCCATTTCCAGCCCACCATGGCGCAGGTTACGCCCGACTGCGGTCTCGCTTCAGAGATACCCCTGCCCCGGCTCCTTGGGAAGCCGACCGAGTACAGGGATGTTTTCGTAGTCTTCTACACCTGCTCTGCAGTAGTGTATTTCTTCGTGGGCATACAGACGCCGGTGGCTGGTTGGGGGTGGGAGATCGCAGGGTCTCGTAGGGCCGGTTTTATTTGGATTCTAGTGCGTCTACGGATAGCGCTTGACGGATATGCTCACTCAACCAGATGGAAGCAAGACAAGGCGTAGGGAGCAGAGGAAACGAGCCGGTGGGCACGGGCAGGGCCGCGATAAATGCCCTCGCCACAGACGGGAGTCGGTCGAAGGAGTGGGAAGCATTTAAGTCAGAGGCTCTGCAAGATGAGGTCCGGTATGGTCTGGCCGCAGACATCTAATAGCTACATGCACCCGCGATAAACCAAGATGCGTCCCAATCGTTGCAGTCAAAAATCACCGGAAATTTGAGAGGATGCAGCAGCTAGCCCATGTTCTGGGGGCCACGAACAAAAGACCAACAGGAATAGCACAGAAAACACTTCAATCTTTGTTGGGCGCTCTTGGTTGCATCACCACCATCATCACCACCACCATGCCCCTTGCTTGCTGCATGAGAACTCCATGGAGATTGACTTTCCAACAGGCGAAGATGAGGGCTGAATGGGAGGGATGGTGGCCGCTGGAGTCCCAGTGTTCCCTCCACTGCCTACCTTGCGACGTTGCAGCATCCATAAGGGTCCTGGCCTGGATCAATGTAATGGGGTATGGACCGAACCGCCAACACCGTTGGAAATAGCCAGCCAGAGAACGGTCTAGGCAGACGGGCACCAACGGCGGAGAGAACAGCCACTGCGAATACATTGCGCATACATAGTGTGCACGCACCATAGGCTGTCAAATCTTATGCTACCGTAGTACGACGTATTCTACGTACGAACGCATGGGCAGGGAAGGAAGCGCAATGATAGTCACAGTAAGATTGCTGTGAAGATGGGAAGATGGCGGGCCTCAAGGCAGATTCCTCTGCCCCATCTGTACTCTTGCTCCAGGGGCATTCCGGCCTCCAGGAACCACGTTGTCTGTGCCGCATTCATGCGGCGATTCCTCCACGGCCCCTGGATCAGGAATTGTTGACAATTATGGGAATGTCCCTATATATGCTTATGACGGCACGGCTATACGGACGTGACTCTGCCCATCTTATCTAGCCTATCTGCGGAAAGATGCCCCTCAAGAAGTCGAGTTGTGTGTGTTTCTGCCAGTGATGGATTTCTGAGATACTGCTCAGATACGATGCGATGCCGTAAGGTCCACGGCATGACCCTGGAATCTGTCGTATCCGCATCTCCAGTGCTTACTCTGCAGGGCTGTATGCTAATTTGAGCATTTGGGTGGGATAGCACCGTGAAACGGCAGGTACAGCGTCTAAACTAATTCACCTGGAACCTTGACAAACGACGACATCAAATAGTTTTAGCTTGGGGTTTTGGCCACCTCATTCTTCCTCTCACGAGGAGTATGACGAGGAGTCCGGGTGGTGGGCAAAGGAGAGAGAGTGTGAGAGAGAGAGAGAGAGAGTGTGTGTGTTTGTGTTTGAAAGAGAGACGACATAGAGGCAAGCCCGGTGACTGACTCCACAGTTTGCCCGGCCGACTTGGGAAGCCCTGCCGATGTACTGCGCTGTACCTTGGGCTGCACTGCAGTGCACTGCACACCAAGGGCCCATTGCGACCCCAACTCTGACCTGCCGCCTCAGCCCAAAGACCAAGATCAGGACTTTTGGATGGCATCCGTGGATTGGCCTGCCCTATGGATGCTCAGATTCGGAAACTGCAGCTCAGAGACAGCTCATCTCACAAAAAGGGGGGGGAGAGCAATGCGGCGTCATTGGCCACAGGCATCCCACGCTCAATGTTGACGCCTCGGAAACGGGCGTGCTGGCGCGGTTGGCGGCCAATTGGGTGAAGCAGGCAAGACGGAGGCGAAATAATGTTCTCCTCTCGCTGCGTACATAGTAGGTATTCCACCCGGTTGTGAACGATTTATACGGTCCACCAGGCTCAGAGATGGCGGGAGTACTTTGAGCGACAGACCAGGTTGATGCCACGAAGTTTAAAGTGCGGCCCGTCATTCGCCGGTTCGCGAGGTGAGGTAAGAGAAACTGGAGAGTTGCAACGGGCGCGGTAACGCACGCAAGCATCTTGCATGTCACTTTAAGGTGTCATTAGGCTGCCCTACCCACAGCACGCGCAGCAGCTTGGTTAAAAGGACCAGGCAGCTGGAGTCTCGGTGCTCACTATCCGTATTGACGCCAAGGTATTAGGTAGTGGTAGGTAGGTAGGTAAGTAGACTGTGACAGGAGGGCCTCACTCTACCTTACCTACCTTACCTACCTTACCTACTAGTAGCCTAGTAGGTGAGCTGCGGGGTACGTACCTTCACCGGTCCTGCGCTCCTCCCCTGGTGTCCACCACGGCCGATGTGGCTCAATCGATCGATAGGGCTCCACCCAGAGCACGGGCGCTCTCCGGTCTGGGTGGCTTCCCGGCGAGTCTTAATTAAACGGTTGGCTGTCAGTCTTCCAACTACCAACAAGTCTTGTTGGTTGTCCGTCACAGTCATTACTCTGTCATTGTCGCGGCTCGTCACCTTGCCTACCTACCTACCTACCTGCCTACCTATTCCATTTCCACTCTCGCTGTTGCTCTTGTCACAACCCACATCATCCCATCCCCTTCTCGTTCAATGCCCTCCCACAGCCCTGTCCTGTTCCTTCCGACCCTTCTCCTCTCTGTATCCGAACTCCCCTTGTCCGCCTGTCTTCCTCGCCCCTTCCCTTCCCCGGACCCCTGGCGCAGATGATGCTGGGCCACCGGCCAAAGGCTCGTCCACAGCCAGGGCTTTACGCTCAGTATCCTGGTCTAGTCTCCAGGCAAGGCCCTCTTTCATTCCCAAGTTGTTGGACTGGCCACTCATGGCACTGGAACCCTACGGATGAATGTGCATCGGCTGCGTTGGTGCAAGCATTTATCGTACCACCAAGTTGTTTTTACTCACCCAAGTCGGCTAGAACCACCACCAACAACACGCCCGGCCAAACAAGAGCCAGGGTCGTCGACTTGCTAAACCAACCAGACGAGGAAGAACACGAGCACCGCGCCGACAGACACAGACACAGACACAGATACAGATACAGGCAAGTGAGGAGGAAAAGAGAGACCGACGCATACTCGACCTTGATCGCAATGTTGCTTCAGAGTTTTCATCCCACTGCAACCTCCTCTCAGAGGTCAGCCGTCCTAACAGCAGACAGACTTGAATTCTGCACAAACCTCCGCACCCTCATCAGTCCTTTTCCATGTCCTCCTCTTCGTCTCACACCCCTCGCTCCAACTCTTCTCCTCCACCTCTCGCAGCAGCCCCCAATGCCACCCATCCTGGGCTGGTTGGATCCTTCGCGGGACGGTCCAACCACCACCACCAACATGTTCCAACATGCTGCTCCAACAAAATCAAAGGTCCCCTTGCCCTGCTGGATGCTGGACCCTCTCAGAAAGCACCATCTTACTCCAGTCTCCACCAATTTCGTCCAGCTGCCCACCCTGCCCCCATGTTCTCCATCACCTTGCACGTAATACAGGGCTACCGTGCATTGCCTGTTGCTATCGACGTTCTGGCTCTGCCTTTCTCCATCTTGGCCTGGCTCTCACTTGCTCTATCTCGCTCCCACACTGCTTCTGCTTCTCTGACTCTATGGCATGCACGCAAGTCTCTTTTGATGATGCCGTAAATACACTCTGTGCTGTCAGTCTCCGCCCCCGGCTGTCTTCAATTAACCCCCGTACCGTATATCTCACCCGTGCTAAACTTATACACATACATACACCCTAAATTGCCCATACTACCTTGCTCTGCGACTGAACCGCTTTGGTCCCAAGCATGACCCGGCAGAAAGAGAAAGAGATGGGCGTCCCGTCTCAAGGTCTGTATAAAAATTGGCCCAGTCTGCCTCATGCAATCAATGTGTGAAGCGCTCGCGGTCTGCCCTGCTTCCTTGTCTCTCTGTCCATCTCTCCCTCCTCTGTGTTGATCAACCCTGCAAGTGACGATCAAAGTCATCGCGTGTGGTCCCGGTCAACTTGCCCACCCCCCTTGGGTCCCCTACAGAACGAGGCAAACTGGGTCTTTCTTCCCGTCTTCCGGATACCGTACCTGGCTTACCTTACTTCCTTCCCTTGTCTTGGCCCCAACACACGCGCCCGCGCCCTCTCTTTTCCTCTCTTGCGTTCCCTTCCCAGCACACTGCCTGATTACTTGCTTGCCTACCTTCCGTTGCTCGTCGGATGTAAGGTAAAATAAGGTACAGTCCAGTTGCCCCTGTCCTATGTCGTCCTGCTGCCTTGTCTTGCTCCTCTCCTCAATTCGAGCACGTTCTTTATAAGTGCCTCCTTCCCCATCTTACCTCCTGCTTTTCAGCCTTCCTGGGCAAGGTTGCCAATCAGATACGCACCCCGATCCGTCCTATCCACACACTCCTCCCACTCACGCGCATCCCTCCAACAAGTCCCAACTCAGCACCCTCCACCCCCCCTTCAGGGCCTGATTGCGTCTTGTTCCAACAGCCCTGTTGGTATATAAGTTCATCTTTTGCGTCCAACAAAGCGTCCGGGGGGAGAAAAGGGAAACACAAGAACGCCAACAAAAAAAGGGTGCCGCCCACGCCAGTCATGGATCTCACACCACCCTCATTAACAAGATCTCCGGCGTCTTCAACTCACACCTACTGCCCGTCGGAATCCTCCCTGGACTATCCATCACCAGATCTCGCAACTCAGCAGTACAAGCTTGCTTCTTTGTACGCTGCTGGCCAACTCTGCTCTCTCGCACAAACACCTGACACCGATTCCTCTTTGCCGCCTTTAGATCCCACGACGACAGCTGACTGGACCTCGGCCAGCATCATGGCACCGGCCTCTTCTTCACTGTCCATTCCAAACGTTCTGTCCTCAGAATACGATCCCTTTTCTGAGTATGACCCGGCCCCGTACGGATCTGAGACGTACCCCCCGCCACCCTCACAACCGTCATCGGTTGTCAACCAACCGCATACTCTCGCAGATGTAACCGGACGCTCGCCAGCACCGTCTTCTTCAAGAAGCTCGTTCTCTTACCCGCACGGCGGCGGCCACCCCACAGGTCCCAGGATCAAGATGGAAAACACCAACGACTACGGATCCGGAATCGATGTTTCCCATTACCCGTCACCACGCTCGATGCAAGTCCCGTACATGACGGAGCCCAGCCAGTATGCAAGCCCACATCAGGCCTACCTGTCAGACACCAGCTCTCCTGCATGGTCCAAGACAGAGCTGGATGCCGAACATTACTACCAACATCAAACTCCATTGGGGGATTCGAGTGCATCTGGCAGTCATCATGGCTCAAAGCGCGCGGAGATCAAACCAACCCGGCCAAAGAGGTCGGCGCGGCGGATGACGACCGTAGCGGACGCCAACTACCAATGCGAGGTCAAGGGCTGCGGAAAACTGTTCAGTCGTAGTTACAACTACAAAGCCCACCTGGAGACGCATGACGAGAAGAGAGAGTACCCATTCCCCTGTCCAGTCGCCGACTGCAACAAGAAGTTCGTCCGGAAGACAGACCTTCAGAGGCACAACCAGAGCGTTCACATGAAGGAGCGAAACCACAAGTGTGACTACTGTGGTCGTCTATTTGCTCGCAAAGACACTCTCCGGAGGTAAGTTGAAGTGCAAGAATCGTATTCCAGGGGAGCGTATACTGAGGTTCGTACCAGACACATGGAAGACGGGTGTTCCAAGCGATTCGACGTGGGAACTTGTGACCTTCGCATCGATGGCTATGAAGGGATGAGCGTCAACCGTAACATGGGAGGGTCTATGCATCCGATGGGTCTAGGCCAAGGTACTCTGCCACCGATCACGATGCCCATGGGCAACAACGGTGGTTTGCTGCATCCGGTGGCCTCCTCTAGCAGGGGTAGAAGTGTCATGTCCGGCACGAGCGACACCCACAGCGACCACTGGCCACGATGATGTATGGCTGGTTGTAGGCCAGTTACGGGAAGTACGACGAACGAACACACATGCGTGCGCAAGCTATATAACACGTGGCATGGTATATATTAAGAACATGTCTGTATCATTATATGGGCGGTTGGGATGGATTTATGACCATCTTTCTAGGGTAGATACCTGTGGGCAACGGCGTTTTGGTAGTGGGTTGGCGATAATGAAGGACTGCAGAGGTAAATGACGGAATGCACACAGCAGCAAGTATCCAAAACGGCGCCTTGCGCAGGACATCGCCTCGTGCTCCGATACTGAGATTCTGTACGCACGTACGAGACTTTCCGAGAATGGCCCAGCTTCATCGGCGCCGCAACAGTGAAGGCACGACATATCCCTGGCCTCAGAATCCTCAAGTGCTGGAGGAGTTTCTGGTACCGGCTAAACGATGACGGTAACCAGCTTGGCAAGCGGCGCCCAAGCCGTTACCTGTATAAACCCCCCTCGCTCATGAGATGTGCCTAAAAGATCCGCATGAGAGCACGCGGTGACTCATCCCTACCATTTCCTTTGGATATGTAGGTATTCTGCATGCCTGTCTCCTTCCATCCCAACAAGATATCATCTCAATTTTAGGCGCTCGGCGGTCTGTCTTATACGCTCGTTTCTGGTGAGCTTGGATTTGCGTTTTGCGCTACCAATTGGAGCCACTCGGCTGCACAGGTCAAGATATCTGTCTCTATCCATCCCTCAAGAGACAAACCGCCTTACCCCGGGGCCGGATATCATGCTTTTGACAAAAGTAGTCGGTGTACTGGACAATCACGGTAGGTTGGGACGGTGGGGTTTTCCAGATACTATTTTGCGAATCGTGTCTCTGCTACCTTCGTTTTCCATTTCTATCCGGTTCCTTATCACCCATATCCTTTTGATCGTCGATACAGAAGCCCGGAACTTCCTCCCTTCCAAGAAGAACTCTGCAGAAACAAAAGAAAAAGAAAAAAAAAAACCTTGCCGTTACCATCCTGAAACCAAGTGCGTCAGTCACTCCAGATAGAGGAGCGTCTGTCCCCAAACACGTTCAACCCAAACCGCGATTCCAATGAGAATTGCCGCTTCTTCTTCTTGTTCTTTTTCTTCTTCACCCTGATTGTTACCAAGCAGCCCATCAGCCTGCTCGTCATTAATGACCAACGAGTGGCCCGTCGCTAAAACTGGAAAGCGGAAGTCGTAAATCTCGTGAACCTCATGATCATACAAGCTTTCAAGCCCCAAAAGGTTGCGGTCCGCCGTGAATGTCGGAATCATTCCGTGGAGGTCGCGAAGGTGGAGTAAAGAGAGAATGGAGAGAGCAATTGCGAGGCCGCTGTCATCATTTCATGCAGATGACGTGGGCCCTTGTAATAGAAGCGACTGAGATAGTCGCGCCTGTGTCGTTGCGAACGGTGATGACAGGGGTGACAACCAACTGAACACGCCAGTGCTCAGCCTGGAGGATGTGAGGGTCAATGTTGGGTGCAACACCGACCATGGTCTGAGTGCTGAAGCGAGCGCCAGCATCGGGAAACCGAAACTCAAAGGTGCAGCGTGACGTGAACATTTTCGCAGAGATGGACCAGGCCTTTTCGATCATGTCACGAAGAGCATCATCGGCATCATCCAAGTTGGGACCACCCTCGGACTCAGGCAGCATGAGGGGAGCGAGCATCTCGCGCAGTTCGGCTTGGAAGTACTCGATACGGTGGCTGCGATAGGCGTCGTAGCGCTCATGGTTGATGCATGAGTTGACGATCGCCGCGACACGGTCAATGCAAACCTGGAGGGCACCGCCTTGGCCAGCTGTGACTTCTAAGTCAGCGTCAATATCAAGTAGCAGGCAAGGCTGAAAACTTACCAGGGAGGTTGTTCATCTCATAACGTATCTCACCAATCTGGCGATCAGCGTCAACAGAGAAGCCCTGCCAAGCCTCAAAGACGAAGATGCGATGAACAAGCAAGTCGATAATGGCGCGAGAGATGAGACAAGCGCGGGTCATGCTGTCGTTCATGTGCTGTCGAATGTAGGACCAGGCTTGGTGCTCGCTAAAAGGAGAGTACAGTGTAGTCATGTAGCGGGCAATCTGAACTTCCGAGAGATGCAACATCACACTTGGGTCGATTGAGGAGGCAAATCGGAGCACCTAGCTCCGGGCCAGACCCCAAACCCCTTCGAAGGCACGAGCATAGCGCTCGTTATCGCCGCTGTCGTCTTGGCCGAAAGCTGTTCCAGAAGCCAAGGTCCCGGTGACACTTGCGGGCTTGCCGACTGATCTGGGGCCGTTGCTGCCATGGCTGAAGGGACCAGGGGTGAAGCCTCCGTGATTGTAATCAACTGCGTGGTAGTTCTGAACCGAAGATCTGGAGGGGTGATTCCGCTGAGATTGGGAACCACGGTGGGTGGGAGCACTATTGTACTGCTGAGTGGAACCGAAACCAGGGGTTCTCGGGATCAAAGGAGAAGCCCCCGTGAAGCCAGACGAAGGGCCCTCGAAGTTGCCAAATCCAGTACGGCTAACGGAGCGAGGCGTTGGGCTCTCAAAGGGGCCAGTACTGGTGTTGAGGCCACGACGAGAGCCAGCATTTGATCCAGGTCCATAGCTGTAGCTGTAGGAGCTTTCGGCATTGTCAAAACCGCCATTGCTGCTGCTATGTCCGGGATGAAACTCTGGAGCATTGGGACGGAAAGAAGACTGCTGCTGGTTGTATCCTCGGTGCCCCATGGCAGTACCAGGGCGAGCTTGCATGGTAAACTGAGCACCATAACCACAAGAAAGGTCAAACTCGTTTGGCTGTTTGTAATCACCATTGAAAGAGCTGCGAGCATCTCCAGATCGCGAGTAGGAGCGAGCTGGCAGCATCGGTTGCTGCATAGAAGCGCCACTTGAAGCACGAGTCCAACCGGCGGAAGAAGTGGTTCTGTTGTCGGCAGGGCGACGAGAGTTACTGAACATGCCGGGATAAGAAGTGGGCGGCCCGTTGCGAGAAGATGCGTTGGGCATTCCGGAGATTTGAGACGTCTCTGCATTCTGCTGCTGGTAGTTGAATGGCTGCAGCGCATTGTCTATAGAAGGCATTATCTCACTGTGCTCTGACTTGATGGTAGCGCGTGTGGGCACCAGCTGCTTCTGCACATTCTGAGAGCGAGGAGTCTCATTCCCCTGCTGCTCCAAGGCAGCGATACTGGAAGCGCTCAGGGCGGTGATAACGTTGCCAGGTGAGCCTTCCTCGTTTCGCGTAACCAGCCACTGGGAAGTAGGACGAGATAAGAACTCCTTGACAGTCTAAGATTCACTTATTAGTTTGGTTACAGATTGGGTAGTTCTGAATAGCACATACCTCCACCAACTCCCGCATGATTTCCTGAGTGGTATCTTCCCCGTTGTTCTCATGATCAAGTCTGGCTTGATACTCGCGCAACTTGTTCTTGTACTTCTCAGTCTCCACGTGATAGCAAGCGAGCCGATTCTCGACCTCATCATGCTTGCTCTGGAGCTCGGCATATTCACGCTTGAGGTTGTCGCGCTCCTCAAGCATGATACTTGCCTCCAGCTTCGTGGAGCAAAGGACCTTCTCGTTGTACTCAATATCGAGACGATAGTCAGCGACCTCGTTGATCGCCTGGCGAAGCATGTTGTTGACATCTTGCGCATACTTCTGAAGGCCATCACAAAGATCGTTGGCGATTTTGCTGGGGATTCCTGGAGTGCGACGAATGGCCTGCTGCGTGGTCATGATACCCGCCTGAACCTGACGGGCAGGGATCCAGGCCGGCTTTTCATCTCAAAAATCAGTCATGTTTTCAAACAAGAACGACGTTTGGGGTACTCAAGACGAAAAGGAAAAACATTGAGGGACTTGAAATCCGAAGGGGGTAAAGAGGGGAGGATGGGTAAATCAGGAAGAGGCAGCAACCAGAAGGGGAAGTCGACATACGTGGTTTCGGGCGAGCTCAGAACGGCGATTGTCTCGGATAGGACCGGCCAAAGGGCCGTCGATCTGGCAGTGGGCAGCCATCTCTGCGACAACTGGCTTGGAGTGAGCGAGATTGTTTGCTGCAAGTTTTCCCTTCTCCTCAGAAATTGTAGGAAGAGCTCGTTGGGCACGTCGAACTTCGCTGTCAGGAGCGTTGGGAGTGTTGCCAGGTGCCTTGACAGCAGGAGGGGTTGGTCCAAAGCCGCTTTGGAGCGTCGTAAAGGCCGGCCGATATCCAGCGGAGGAAGGCTCGGCAGTTGGGCGACCGGTAGGAGTTGCCAGAATTGTTCCGTCGGAGCGAGTAGACAACTTACCCGCAGAAAAGCTGGTCGAATTCTGCGAGTGAGAAGGACCGCTGCGTTTGGCACTGCCTTGGCTGGGAGTAGTATGAAATTTTGGCGGGACAGGAAGCTGGTAGTTTTGATGGTAGTCCTGTTGATAGAGCTGGCCAACCCTGCCCTGGCAAAGTTCGGGGCCAAAAACGTCAGGAGGCGACTTCTCGTACACAATAGTACTGGCCGATGAGCTTGGGGTTGAGTGATGGTGCTGGTGGCGCGACGAAGAATTACCAGGAGGTGAGTGGTCGGAAAGGCGCACACCGCCTCGATCCTCTCCGGAGCTGTTACTGTTGTGTCTCAAGTCAGCCATTTTGGTTTCCTTCCTTTGTGGCCGTCACAACGAGGGCGCCGTGAGGAAGGGGGGGAGATCCTATAGCACGGTAGAACCACTAGGTGTATGTTGGAAGGGGAAGAACAATAACGACGATGTGCGGAAAGAAGGTAATCAAAGGATGTCGTGGTGGGAAAGGGATATGGGTGGGAGAAAACCTCACATGCGGGAGGTGAGAGATTGTTGATGATTCTTTCGAGTTATGGATGGAGAGAGATAGCGAGGGGGAAGTGGAGAAAGAAAGGCGCGCCTTCCAGACAAAACAACTGACGCTAGCCTTTGCGGGAGTTGCATCAGATTCACTTACTAGAAGTGAAGATGAAAAAAAAAAAAAATGAAAAAAAAAGGCAGAAAGGGGGGGGCGAGGGGACAGGTGAAGCTTCTGGTAGCTCGTCTGCCTTAGCCAACCTGAGGTGAAGTAAGTTAAGCCAAGGCGAGAGGATAAGAATGTCATGCTCACCTCACACCTTCCTGTCTGCTTACATCCAACCCCAATGATAAGAGAAAAGCAAGAGGAATAGGCGTGCACCAGCTCTTCACTTGAAGCCCCGTGGCAAAAACAGATAGGTTCCTTCCGTATACTATATGAAAGCAAAGATTTCAGAGGGCAAGAGAGCAGCATGCCTCATGGACCTCCACCACAAGGATCTGGAGGAATGAGAAGGAGGCTAGGGAAGACTGGGGCTTTTGGCAGAGAAAAGAAAACATACGTACAAGTTGAGCTCGCGTACCGAGTCCAGCACACAAGACCTCTGCTTTGGGTGGGTAGTTTTGTTGGTCAAATGTACCAAATGCTGTTGTTGAATCTTGCTAGGGTAGCCGAGGTCCAAGGAGGCTGATCGAAATAGCCCCGAAGCCAGTACCAGGACTATCTATGCCAGGCGTCTTGGGGGCAATCGTGGAAAGCACGACCGAACTTGGGAGCAGGAGCGAAACTTATCGATCAAATTACTCTCAGAACCCTTTCAAAGGTACGTTTGCGAAGTTTGAGATTTCCTATTGTTTGCAAAGTGGCAAGCAAAATGCGCAAACCTACGGCGGCAGAGTAAATCTGTACTGTTCTTCCAAGAGTGCACTGCCGACGTTTCCCGATAGGCCACGCTTTCCGGATGGGAACTTTTGGTTGTATTTGCTGGCGCTTAAGATTTGCTGCGAGAGAGCGTGAGGCGGATCCTCGTCTCGGGGCACAGAAGGGCAATAACAGGAGAGACTTATGGTGGGGGCAGAGGAGTAAGGTACCTAGTGAGGAAGGGACGGATTGATGACGTGGGTGATGGAGGACGTCGACAACAAAGGTATTCCAAGAGGCAGGAGCTATGAGTACACGAGATCTTTCTTGTGCCTAACTTGCAGAACAAACGTGCAGGAATGGATATCAGCATGCTATTAATGACACTGCACTAGGTCTACAGGTCTGGACATGAAATTACAGGTATTTTGATCATGGAGTGCTGCAGCAAAAACAAACACCATCTGTTCTATAGAAGCTGGCAGACCAGCAGGCCTTCAGAGAGCGCTGCTCAGAATAAGCAAGTGAAGCAAGCAGTCTAGTAAAGAGACGTACAAAAACATGTAGCAGCAGTGAAGATAGTGGGTGCTCACACTAAACAACGCATAGAAAGAAGAGATGGAGCACATCATGATAGAAAACCAAATCTGACTGTGAAACATACAAAGGCAGGTTCATCAAGGGCTGCGATCTCACCCGAGAGCGTTGAGGCAGCGAATGCTCAGCAGATCGCAGAGACCAGTTCTATCTGCAACTTTGTCAAAAGATATGTGACACATTTCCTATGAATTCGTGTTCTAATACGCGAAATTTAATTTGAGCTATGCCTCCCTATACCTTACCCGGACGCCAACACGGTAGCCTGATACCTGCTCCACACGTAGTGGAGGGCGATGGAGGGTAAAAGAAAGAAAGGAAAAAACCTAAGGTACAGAATCAGCCATAAGTAGTTGGCGATCGAATATGTGATGTAACGTGTTTCTGCTGGAGAATCAGTGTGGTGTCGATCTTTTCTCCTGTGGTGATGATGGGTAGACCTTTGCTCTCTGGCCAGACGGCGACTTGGCCACCACTCGTTTGGTGGCCTTCGATGGAGACCAGAGCGGGCTCGTCTGTCTCGAGGATCTATTTGGAGTCGCAGAGCGTCGCCTTAATGGTCCGGTCAGAAAAAGAAATTGAGGATCATGTGTACCAATGCTTACAGTGAGGAATCCTAGACAATATTTCTTCGACGCCATGAATTAGCTTTCAGATCGCTCGTGTGCGAGAGAACAAACTGCTGTAGACGGCATCTACAACAGGTGACGCGTCGATCATCCTGCCTCCGAAGTAGCGACCGTTCAGACCCCTGATGGCGTTCTCGCCGCCCTGGACCTTGTCGAATTTGAGGTAGATGTCACCCTTGGAGTTAGGATCGACTGCGATGTGTACAACACGACCATATTTCTTTTCGGCTTCTTGTCGCACATCGTCTTCCAGCTCTTTAGCCCAGTCGTCACCATCCTCCCTGTCATCGAGTTAGCATAAATTATCCTGGATTGACGGTGGTGGAACGTACTCTTCGGGATCAAACATGTTGTGCAGCACAACGCATCGGCTAGCCATGCTAACGTTGACCGGTAAGGGCTTAATCTCGGTCTTGGGCTTCAGAACCTGTCGCTCATCTGCTCCGTTCGAAGCTTCATCAGTCCTGGCAAGTTTTCTCATCAGGGCATCACGGCTGTAGTTGTTAAAGTTGACTCCGGCAACATCGGTGTCATCCAGGGCGCTGGCACCACCAGACTTTTCGCTGTCTCGTCCACCGGCACGGTCAAATGCTGATGTCTGCGGGCCACGTCCGCCAGCACCCGAAAATGCAGAGCCTTGATACGCTTGGTTCTGACCAGGGAATCTCTGCAACATGTTGGCAGTGCTCTCAGGGGTGAACTTATCGTTTCCGAGGCCAACACGGATCGGGCGACCAGCAAGGTCGAACCCGTTCATTTTTTCGAGTGCCTCTCTGGCTTGGCTAGCTTCCCGGTACCTGAAGAATGGTTAGCATGGGAATTTGCAGGCAAGGATACGAAAAGCTTACTGCACGAAACCATAGCCTCGGCTGCGTCCATTGTCATCCTTTTGGAGCTGGACAAATTCAAGTTCACCAAAGGGTTCAAAAACAGCCTGCAAATCCTGTTCGGTGACGTTGAAGTGAATGTTGCCAACGTAGAGTCGATGGAAGGGGATCGAGTTTGGGTGTGCGCCGGTAGCGGTCTCGGAGTTGCGGACTTGGCGGTTCTTCTCGGCCTCTGTGAGCTGAACTATGATAGGGATACCTAGCAGTTTCTGCCCAGTAAGTTGAAGAGCTTGAGTGACAGATTCCTCGTTCTTGAATTCAACGTAACCAACTCTGGATGAATCATTAGTATCTGGGTCTGTAGTGTAGAGTGAAGACTTACCCCTTGGATCTTTGGCTGATGCGGTCCTTGACAATCTGGGCCTCGTTGACAGGGCCGACCTTTTCGAAAAATGCCTTTAGGTCGCGAGTGCGAAGACGGGCGGCGAGCTGCTGGACAAAGACAGTGCGGCGGTCCCGTTCATCTTCAGTAAGTTGTGGTGTTGCCTCACGCTTGGAATTCTCATTACGATCGTCGTCCCTTGCCCGGCGATGGTCCCCCGAGTAGCGATCAGAGCGATCCCGACGGTCGCGGTAGTCACGGTCGTCACGCGACGAGCGGTAAGAGCGGTGGGGTGAGCGAGAACGAGAACGAGAGTGTCTGCGTCCGCCTCTGTAGTAGTCACCATCTCCTCTGTGACGACGTGAGTGACGGCGGTCATCATCGCGGCTTCTGCTTCTCCGCCTACTCTTGTGGCTGCCAGCGTCGCTCCGAGGGGTGGATGCCTTGTGTTCTTCCGGTGTGCCACGGCGGCTTCGAGTCGAACTGCGTTCGCGGCGGTCGCGGTCTCGGCGTCGACGGTCGTAGTCGCGGTCGCGGCTTCCATCGCGGCCACGGTCGCGGTCTCGGCGCTCTGGGCGATCTCCATTAGGACGATCTTCCACCTCGGTGGTCTTTGGCTTGCTTTCGGTCGAGCTTTTCGCCGTGGCGTCAAGCAAAGCTTCGACATCTAGGCCGGACATGTTGACTGGAATTGTGATCAGAGAGAAAGGCGACTATGTTTCCTGTTTCGATGGGGAAGCTGCTCTCGACGGGGCCAGGAGCAGAGTCTTGTCGCTGTGGTGATGGAGGGGGAAGGAGACAACGAGATTCCGTGGGATGGGGGAGGCTGGCTTCGTGTCAGAAGTGACTAGCGCAGCGGATTCACCAGAAAACCTTTGGGCGGGCAGGCAGGCGTGGCTCATGAGTCGGGTTTAGGGACTACGGCACTTTTGGCCAAGCATTAAGGTAGGTATTCGTAGGTACCTTGGGTAGGTGCCTGGTAGTTCCACTAGGTGCCTACCCGACCTTCTTACCTACCAGGTAGGTAGGTACCTTCCTACACGCTTACCTTGCCAAGCACTGGCTACATGCGGTCATTCGGGTGCCTTACCTAAGCGACCAGGTCTGCACAATCTACCAGAGTCCAGACCGAGCCGCACGGTCTGAGGTCAAACCTGTGCACCAAGATCTCGTTAGTCACGTGGCTATGCAGAGTAATCATTATCCGTCCCATGCTTCCGAAGTGTTTGTGTTGTCGAACTGACTTCCAACCGGAGGCCCGACCAGACCCCCTTTACGACTGCCCGTGAACTAGTCCGCTTTAACGGTTCGCCGTGGGCTGCGATCATGGCGTCGTTAAGGTTGCCTCGCTGGTTGGGGCACTGAACTTTCGCGTAGAGGCAGATATCAAGCTTGTCAACGCAGCGGTAGTGGCCAAGGACATGGTTTGAAAGATGTAGAACGTGCTTTTCTAATTAAGGCATGGCCTACTGAGTTGTGGTATCATTCAAAAATATTCTGTACTGAACCAGTCGCCATGACAAGATGACGACTCTTCCCATGGCGGTATCATAACTGCCCGGGGCGCTATAATACGCGACAACCACCTTGAAACCGTCTCCTCGAAACGCCTGGCGAAAAGACCCCATTACTGCGTTAGGCACTCCTGCGAGCGTATATACATGGGGGCACATGTTGATAAAGAATGAGCAAAAGTCGCTCTCTTGGGCATTAGAATAGTCCCCCGGATCGTCATCGTGACAAGATGTATGAACGTTGGTCGATGAATTATTGCGTCTTGACAATGGGAGGCAGTTCGGTGCCGAAAATGCTATCCCAGAACCGGCTGGTGACGCCAAAGCCAAGCTCATAGTCAAGGAAGTGGTGCTGAAGGTGGTACTTCTTCAATTCCTTGTACCAGAGCGGCAAGTTCTGGTGGTGAAGGAAGTAGTGCGTCAAGTCGTAGCAGATGTAACCAAAGATGCCTCCGCAATAAACAGCGGTAGCGGCGTGCCAGCTGTACGAAAAAACCCAATGAGCCAGCTTGTAGAACGGCGTGGCGAGAACAACAAAAAGTGTAGGAGGCATGACGAGGCGATACTTGTCCATAGGCAGGTAATGATGGATGCCGTGGAGGAGGAAATGCATGGTAATGCCAACTCGGTTGTCCGGAAGCCACCTGGTTTTCGCTGTTGGTTATCTGGAATTGCATAGCACATCATAGGGGCAGCTTACTTGTCAAGGTGGAAGAGGAAGCGGTGCAAGATGTACTCGATCAAGCTCCAGAGAAAGAAGCCGAGCCCCCAATAGCAGACCTCCTGGAAGGTGCTGTCCATGCCCTCTCTAGCCAAATAGGTACCGTATGCAACTGGGGGGAGCCACGCCACAGGCACAACCCACCAAGGCGTCTTGGAAAGGGGCTCGAGAAAGTTTCCAAATAGTGGTGCAGACTCGCCGCCCTTGTAATGGCGAGGGCGATGAACCTGATCAAGGTAGAACTCCTTGCTGAAGCCCCCGTACCAGATCTGAGGGAACAGTGGGCGGCTCAAGTCGAGGAACTTGTGTTTCTTGTAGTCATTGGTGTAATCCGTCTCCTTGCTCAAATCCTCCTCGCTAGCCATGCCAGTGCGAGGATGAACCCATCGCTCACCATCCCAGAGCTCGCCATTCTCATTCATCTTTGGCTCGTCCTCATGCTCCTGGGTCTTGGCAGCGCTGTTGCCATTGCCGTTCGCATTCCCGTTCACATGTCCATTCGCTTTCCCGTTGGGCTTGTTGGCCGTCCCATTGATTGACTTTTGAGAAATGACGAATCCAACCAAGGAGTCGTCGAGAACTTCGTACGCAGCCTCGGAGTGGGGGTGGGATGTCGGATCGCGCAGGATGGATTCGATGTCCTTGCCGCCGTAGTCGAAGACGAGGTCGGCGCCACCGGGATGGTCCTGGGCGAAGTCGGTTACGTCGTAGACATTTTTGCCAATCGTAACATAACAGGACTTCTTCGAATTATGTGCCTCGACCTCGGCGCGGGTGAAGGTAGGGAGAGTTCTCGACGGCATAGCTGCAGGTGGCGATCGTGAATACGCTGCAACGGAGGCCTGGAGGTGAAACGACTCGGTTGATGCAGACTGATTGCGACGGCCGATTAGGTGGTTAAGCGGTTGGCCGGGTCCAAACAGGACGGAGTGCAGAGTAGCGGTGGCAGAACAAAGAGAGTGGACGGTTTGGAGTCGCAGCAGGCAGTCGCAGGCGCTGGCGAGGAGGGAAAAAGAAGGGACAAGGACAGGAGCGACGACGCGGGAGAGAAAGGGTATTAAGGTGGTAACCGTGGCACCTTGACAGGTGTGTGTAGTACAGATAAAAGGTGATCTAATGCGAAAAAAAGGAGCCAAAAGCCGGGAGGGCCGGAGGTAGGCAAGAGAGGCCGGGACTGAGGTTCGGTGGAACAGGGTGGTGAGAGACGAACGGAGACGGGGGAAGAATTAATTAGGGGGTGCGTTTGATTTGGGGGGATGAGTGGACGGGCAGGTCAGGGAGAAGCTCTCTACGCGATTGCCAATCTCTCTAGACCGAAAATTTACGGCGTGGTGGCGTTACTCTGGCACCTTGCGGAAGCTTGGACAGCCGATTTGTGGTTCCACTGCTCGACAACCTCTGGCGTTTTTTTTTTTTTTCCTCCGTCGATTTTGCTCCCTCTCATCATTCAGGGTTTACTTTGCACTGTGTTGCTTGGATGCAAACCCCGAGATTCCCACCAGGAGCCACGCAGTAGGCTGGTGGAAAGCTGTGCCTGCCTCAGCTCAGCAACAGTCGAACACGTTCCCGAACGGGCAATGAGCGGCGGGGGGTGTGAGTGTGCAGGAGCAGCGGTATTCGTGAGGGTACCGGTACAGGTACAGATACAGATAGATACAGGTACAGGTACGAAGGCCCGGGGACATAGGGATGAGGGGAGGGAATGGACGGTGACGGGAGTGGGTTCGCAGAAACAATTGGTGAATGAAATGTCAATGAGCATCTGCAAAAGTTGGTGTGGATATGTGGATTCTGAGAGGGCAAACGGCGATGGGCATTGGCAGAAGAAAGAGTTGCATGGCAGTTTGGACCTTTGAGACGGGACTCGGGAGATGGCGACGCTAAGAGCACGCCTCGGCCGTGCCATTAAACAACGATAATCACTGAGCCTCCAGGTCACAGCAATGCAAAAGCAGCCGAGTGTCGGCGCCGCTGGATCGCCCCGGGCTGACGGGTCCGTGCAGGAAATGCTTCTGCGACCTTGTGGTTTTGTTGGACGGGGTCGTGGATTGGGCAAAACATCTACGCAGTAGAGGATGAAGGATGTCGATGCGGTGTGAGGCCTCTACACCTCGTACCTTGGGTAGATGGACACAGTAGACGGCGTAGAGTTCTCACATGCGGGCCGTGGCTTGGAAACGAGGGGTAGTCTTGGGGCTTGGGGCTCTTGGTCTTACCTACCTACACCTATCATGGTCGCCTCTACATCTTAGCACCATCGGCAATGGGCCGTGACCCCCAATGAGCAAGATCGCAGCGAGTGCCGTGGCGCCCTCTGGCAGCAGCGGCGGTCTGTGGTCTTCTTAGAGCATTGTTGGGGGCGGCACTCTAGCACTCTGCTTTACAGCAGAAGCAGCCGGTGTCTTGCAGCGCACATGCAATGCGCTTGGCTTGCAAGATGCGACTTGTGACTTGTTGATGCGTTGGACAGAGTCCCTCTCTTGAAGGGATGCGTGATAGTGGCGACCTCAATCTCTCGCACGTGCATGTGGCCTCCAGGCCTTTGCCAGGGCACACTGTGGCTCCGCCTGCGTGGTAGCTGAAAGCCACGCGTTGGATTCGTCTATATCGACGTCCATCGTTGGCTCCATTCTGTATCTGCTGAGGTGACTACTCACCCTGACAGAGCATTCGCTTGTGTGTAAATTGAAGCTGTGAACCCGGTTGGCTGTCTACCTACCTACATAAGGTAGTGTACTTACGCATAACTCCCCCGCACTTGAGCTGCACAAGTCGCTGTCAAATTGAGTTGAAAGTCAAGTCGCGCCCAACTTTTGGAGGAAATGGATGAGGAAACGAACACGGCGGCTAGACCAACCAACCTTGACTGCCAAACATGCTTGATCACCTCACTGGGCTGGCTCTCGAGCTGGGAAGAAGCCTGGACATTGTCAGGCACCCTCCGACTAGCTGCCGGGCACCCAGGCCTAACCTACCAGACGCGATGTGCTTGGAGAGGAGAACGTCTCACCAGCTGCCGTACAAAGACAGCCCTGCCCTACGAATACCTTTGGCGCTGAGCTCATCACCATCAACCTTGCAGCTGCGGTGGCACGCTTAAAGAAACAGGAAGTTTCTTACAGCCACGCATCCTACTATGCAGTATGTGACCCCCGGAAGTTTTCCATTGTCAGGCACATTCATTTGTTCGTTGGCATCATGCGGTACGCTTTTCATTATCGGAAGACGTCATCATTAAATCCATATGCGTCTACCTGCCACAATGGAATTCTTCTCAGCAACATATCTTCTTATGCAATGTCCGGCTGCCTTGACACCGGGTTTATGTCTATACTCAATAGATACATAACCATCTAAGGGGGCGGATGAGCAGGGACCATGTTGAAAAGATTTGCCCCCCAGCACAAATTTGTCGCTCGGCGCTTGAGCTTAGAGCATTGACCGATTGCCGCGAGGGAGCCCCTCAGTCGCATACCTTATTTCACTTTACGTTATCTTACAGCAAGACCAAGCAAAACCAAGCCCACGTCAATCATTGGACAACAGCCAGGGACGACTACCCGTGTGGCGCAGGCCAATGGCTTGCTCAGCTTCACAGCCAAGTAATCAATTGTTCAGCTCTTCTCTTGGGGCAGTCCTCCGTCTGACCCTAGGGCATAGCCGCACTGGAAGGGCGAGAGTGTGGTGCAGTGCGGTGCGGGACGACGTCGTCGTCAGCAGTGATCCTGACGTGTGGCGGGGCAGCAAGCTGGGTAGTAATGTGAGGTATCTCATGCTAGAGATGTTGCCCCGCTTGTGCCTCACGTATTATCTAAGACTACCATTTCCCAAGCCCCAGGTTCCGTAGCCAAGCACCCAAGCTTCCACAATCTTTTGCGCGGCACGGCTTTGCCGTTGACGTACGACCCTACCATCCTACCTTACATCACCCTGTTAGGCTGTTTGCGAAGACTAGGTATCTGGGCAAGAGGCACCAGCAAGAGCTAATAATCCAGTGTTGCTTCAGACAGTCGGGGTAGCCAAACCCAATCTTACTTCGTCAAGCTAAAATCTTCACCCAGTCCATCTTACTCAAGCTCCCCTCCCTGGCGAGACAGTTCAGCTCGCCGTTTTTTAGCTGAGCTTAGCTCATCTGTCCTACTTGGACCTGAACTTTCCTTCGCCATCCTACCTTACGTTGCTTTCTCACCTTTTACCCCTCCAAGGCTGATTCCCAACCTCGTGGGCCAACAACACCCGATAACAAGGCGACCCCTCCACTGTTTACCGAACATCCGACGCGCCTCTGCGATCGAACCTCACTTCCCTTCTTTCGCACAACCTGAACCTCATTCCCCTGCACATGGCGTCATCCGGTCTTGGGAGAGGATCTCTTCTCCTTGCCCTCTGCCTTCTCCTGGTGCTTTTACCAGGGCGCGCCGCAGCTTTTGGCGCCGGCAACATTCCCTCCATCGCGCAGGTAGGCGCTTTACCCGAGCACTGTTTTGCTGATGCTCTTTATCTACCACATGTTGCAACTACTGACCACTGGACGATTTCTCAGGTCGAGGGTGTCAATTGGCGTCATGGAGGTGTGTTCCTTCTTGCTCCTCTGCTTCTCATAATTACTGATTCGCTGACGTGGTCGCATGCAGATATCGAGGATATGCTCAAGACCATCGCCTTCTTGAAGGGCAAGAAGTGGACGTCGATGCTGGTTTCAAGGGTCTACTTCGGCAACTGGCTGCGTGACTATTCTCAGGCTGTCGATGTTGGAAGCTTGAAGGGAGTCAATGCTCCCACAATCAGAATCTTGGTTCGTCTCTCGCGCAATGTTGTCCCCTTCGCTTCTTACCGTTCAATTAGGTCTGGGTGCTTTCCTTCATGGCGTTTGGCTATGCGACTGAGGAATTCGAGGTCACTGAGGAGCGCCTCGGCGTCTACCGTCCCGAGGAGCATATCGACAACCCCCTTGGGTACGCTGACGGCATGGACGCACGCAAGTTTGATCCTCGTCTGCGAGGTCCTGTAGACCCTGTCGAGACCAAAATCGATTCTCGCACCGGCATGAAGAACTATATTGCCAACGAATCAGGCGGTTGGGCAACCAGCGCTGGCTACCTTCGCTTCAGCTTTGCTCGCAGCATCCACTATGGTCGAGTTTACACGAACGGCTCCCGTGGCTCGGGCAAGGAGGACGATCTTTGCGAGGCCCTGCGGTGTCTCGGCCAAGCCCTACACTGCATGGAGGACTTCAGCGCCCATAGCAACTACTGCGAGCTCGCCCTTCGCGAACTCGGTTATCATCAAGTCTACCCCCATTGTGGCGCCGCCACGGAGATCGATCTTCACGGCCGTCGAGTGTTCCCTCTTGTTACCGGAACTTTTGGAGCTGTAGACTTCCTCCACTCTGTCTTAGGCGAGGCTACTGATCACTTCACACAATCCGAGGTCGACGAGATGAACGTAGCGCTTCAGAACGCCGAAGGCCTGACTGGAAACATAGGAGGTGGTTCTTCTGGGAGCTCCTCAAGTGGTCTGGGAAGCATACCCGGACTGGGAAGCCTGGGCAATCTTGCCGGCCTCGGCGGCAACAGTAGCAGCGGCAGCCGTGGACTTTTTGGACTTGGTTCCAGCTCGTCTTCTTCAAACAAGTCAAATGACTTCATCTCCCTTGTTGACCAGCTCCCGGGTATTGGTGGCGGCTTGGCTAAACAAGCCAAGGAGCTACAAGCCCGATCGGCTGAACAAGAGCGGGAAAACCAGAATGTCGGCAACTACTCAAGCAGTCGTGGTGACTTGTCTCGCGACAGCGCCAATCAAGTACCCGGCATGAGTACAAACTTCGACCCTGTCAAGACGGCGAAGAACATCTACCCTATCCTCCAGTTCAGGGATAAGATCGTCAAGTCTATCAGCAACCTCATTTCCAAGGTTCCTGGCCTGGAGAAGTTATTGGACCATATCAGTGAGACACTAACAGCCTTCATCCTCGGGCTGCTGGCACCTTTCGTGAGACCGATCATCAACCAAGTCTCCAAGGTCCTCAAGGATGGCTCCTCAACCGTCATCAGTGCAAGTTCCAACTCACAGCTGGAGCCTTGGAAAAATCCGAGCTGCGATGACCCCACTCACTCAATGCTGTCCAAGGACCACTTCACTAACATCCTCAACTCGTGCGCCGGCAGAGTTGCCGCGACTGTTCTGCAATATGTTGTTCCGTAAGTGCCCCCGTGGGGACAACGACATATTGAACAAGTTGCTAACAGAAGGCAGCCGAGTTCTTTATGCTTGGGAGAATCCCGGAGTACCTGTTGACGAGGTTGTCAACGATGTCCTTCGGGCCTTCCACCACCCGGCTATCCGAGACGAGAGAATTGAGATTCAAAGAAGTATGTTCGAGACGGTTCGCAAGTGGGTCGACGAAAGCCCTCACAAGCATGAGCTGTCCCGCCTTCTGTCATCTGAGTCTGTCAAGGCCGGTAAGAACCATATTCTGAGCGGCGAGGCCTCCAGAGGCCAAGATGGTCCCGGCCACTCTCACGGCGCTTGGGACAGCTTTGGCGAGTTGGGTCATGGGAAGAACAAGGGATCGCTTTGGAGCCAAATCCGGACGAGAGATCTCAACTCAATGGACGGAGACGACAGAAAGCCTCTGTCCAGCTCTCCTCTGCCACCACAGAATACAAACTACGGTTATGACCAAGACCATAGAGCGAGCAGCCAGCCGTACCCAAGTGGTGGCTACGAATCTTCTCAAGGCCACGCCTCCGGCTATTACAGTCAGCCTGAACCGCAAGGCTATGGTCACCAGCCGCCTCCCCCTCCTCAGGGACAGTGGGGGCCTCCGCAACCTCCTCAGGGGTATGGCGGACCAGGCTATGGCGGCCCTGGATACGGTGGACCACCGCCGGGCCAGTATCCTCCTTATCAGCAACCGCATCACCCCCATCATCCGCAGGGTGGTGGTGGTGGTGGCTGGGGACAATACCCAGGCCAACACCGCTACTAGTCACGATGCGTTGTAGATTGGGAAGGTTCTGAGGGTCATGGGACTTGACAGGCTGGCTAAGGCTTGTAAGGGCTCGGCGGATGACTGGGGGTAGGAGGTTCGTTGCAATGGGCACGATGTAGAATGATTCCCACAGACCATGAGTAACATGATTTATTTCATTTCGCAACCATCAAGTGGCATGTCTGGGAGAGAAGCGAGAGAAGCAAAATCGGGATGAGGACCTATACACAACTCACGTTTGTTTTGGTTGACGATGAGAACACATGGAAAGCATCACAACGACCGAAAGTATCCTGCTACCGCTTTGTTTTCAAACAGTCAACAGAGCCCCTTTGCAGCAATAATTTGGCAAACATTTGATCAAGGCGAGGCACAGATCTGACCAAAGGGTCGGGAAAGACAGTAGAGGCTGGGCTTTTCATAACATGGGATCGAACGGCCAAGTCGTTCCTGCTCGCTCTTTTCCAGCCACGCTCCAGCGAGACGTGGGCTTCAGAGGATATGATGATGCGAGCAGGGCCGGGTAAGCTCCGACGAGGAGTAAGACGCTCCGTGCTGGCCTCCGATTGCAGCCGGCGGGACATGTGCAGACGCAGACGCCGCCATCGCTCCGCCGTTCACTGCAGAGACACTCCAACCGCTCCACTGTCTTCACTGACGTCCGCTGATGAAGTTGCTGACTGTCGTGGTGCGTGGACTCGCAATAGATCACCCCCTTCTGCGAGTCAGTATCAAACACCCATCACGGCCCAACACCTCTCGCGATTCTACTGAACCCGAACCGGCGGCCACTATCATCGGCAGCGTATGTCGTCGGCGGCGAGTCCCTCCCAGGCGTTTTCGGCACCGATGACAGCAGGTTTGACTAGAAAGTTATTTTTAATTACCATCCGGACACTTGTCAGATGTTGTGGAGCGGCGTGGTTCTTGTTTGCGCCTAGCAGTCGACGGTGCACTCGGTGGCGTTTCTACTGGCGAGGAGCGCGGGCCGCAGCCAATGGGAAGCTGTCGGTACGAAGCTGGGATGAGTTTTGGATTTTCAAAGGAGGGCGCAGCCATGCGTGTGTGTGTATGTGTGTATGTGTGAGGCGGCCGGGAAAACGAGCTTGGGCTCGGTAACTTAGCTTAAGAGTAAGCTAGTTTCGGGACGACGCCGTTGGACAAAGATTTCCCATTAGTGAGGAGAGAGGGGACCAACAGCTTATCTCTGTCTCTTTCGAGACTGAAGAGGCAAGCTTGAGGCGTACGCGTGTGCGGAGTTCCACGCTGCTGAAGAACTTCTGGATTGATATCTGCGGCAAAGCTGCGCGTGGGCGAATCTAGCATGTTAGCTTACCGGCGCCCACCTGCTCTGCTTCTTCCTGATTCATGTGACGTTGCCAGACCAATCTTTGCATGGTGCCAGCCGTATGCTTCTGAATAGAGGATGAGACCAATCAAAGGAGGGAATGCTTCAAAGTTTCCAACATAAAAAAGGTTCAGGATCACGTAAGCGTAGTCGGTTGACATGCCGCATTGTCCAACTACAACGACGCTGGAACTGTAATGCGGGCACCGCATGGCCGCCGTCATCTCCTGGAGCGAAAGACCGGGTAGTGCAGGAGCGATTGAGTTCTGGGCTGTATGGTCTAGGACAGATGCCCATGTTGAGTCTTGTTTGCAAAAGATGGGATGATGCAATGAAAGCAAATTGGCTGCTGCTTGTTTGAGAGGTTTCCATGGATAGGTTGAGGCGAAATGGCAAGGGGATCTGGTCAGTGCCCCGAGGCTGTGGAGGGGTTTACAGGAGACATGACGTTTTGCCTGGTGGGCTGGTGGTGTTGATCCCTTGCTTGAAAAAGGAGATGCCGACGGGACAATATACTCAACTTGATGTTATTGCAGTTATCCCTCCTCAGATCTTGACACGTCGGGGCAATCCTGGCCGCTGTCTCTGGCCGAGATTTGCCAACTCCAGACGTCATCTGGGGGGTCAAGGGTATATGTGCCAACGCAGTGGTAATAACGGAGAACTGACACTACTGATGGCCTCAACAACGCGGTTGTCTGCGAATGAACTGTCAGCTTACAGGAAAGAAAACAGCGTATAGGTCAGGTGAGGCAGTTCGAAAGACCATCTATCCGTAGGTTGCAAGCCGCATGTAAGCAATGCTACGAAATCTGATGGTTGATACGGGCCGCATGCAGATATGAGGTCTAAATGATCGGCCTTCGGATGTCAAGTGCGGACGGTAGGCAGTCCAGCAGATGTGACCCCGATCTCGAAAGCGGCGGCCCCTCAATACGGGACTTGGGGGCTTGAATAAGCTGTCGGATGTAAACCAAGGTTACACCAATAACGTCGACAGCGGATAACGGAGCAGCGGTGAGTCGCCAATTCGCCTGGCGGCTCTGAAAGTTGGCTGGCTCCAAAAATTTGCGCCAACAAGACCCTGTTACTGTCTGCGGTCTCGACTTCCAGAACGCAGAACACAATGTGGGTTTCTTGAACCGAGGAGGTCTGCCGGTGCGGCTGCCGATCATTCACAGAATCGGTTTTGTTGCCGTGTTGCTTGGCTGTCCTATTCCCTCCTTGTCCGCCTTCGCGCTTGGATGGGCGCAACCTCTGCGCTTGGTCAAGCGGGTCACCTCCTGCCGATCTGACCAGAGAAGCGTGGGCTTGACGCCATATCGTTACCATGGTCGATCGGCGGGATCGTACGTACGGACACAAGCGATCAGTTGTATCCACGCTGCCTTGGCTGCACACGAACAGGCACGCGCTGGAGATCAGCAGCCTTTTTTTGTGCCAACAGGATACGAAGCGGTCCACAAGCAAAAGCCCACTGTGAGGCAAATCGGCTAGTTTTAGCAATAATTGGCGCCGCTGAAATGTCGACGTGGGGACAGCTACGGGCGGCAAAATAAACACCGGGAAGGGTTATTTGTGTATGTGCACAGTAACAGTATTGCCTGGGCTGCGAGTAATGAAGAAGAGATTGAGAGTCAAAGGCTGGACTCTAGGAATCAGGACGCGTTGTTGGCAATTGCTCGTCATTCCTGACAGGGCGTCAGTTCGACTTCTTCCTCCACCCACGGAACGAGGAAAGAGAACAAGACCCGAGGAAACGGAAAGCAGCGGGTGGATGAATGGCCCGACGAACAGTGGACATGGCCGGGAACAATGATGACGGGTACTGGGCTGGGCTAGGCTGTTGGCCCCGGCATCCGGCGTGGTTTGCCAGGAGGAGGCCTGCAACTTACCCAGCTTAGGTTGGTAGGTCGGACGACGAGGAGAAATTGGGCCAGGCCGGCGCAAGTCGCAGTCACTCTGGATACGAGCAGAGCGGACAGACCATCTGGTGTCCCCGGCGCGGCGTAGCGAAGCAAATCGCGAATCCCAATCATGAGCTCAATTTGCTGTTCGAGGGCTCCAAAAGGAGCGAGATCCGTGCATTGCGGTCGGGTGCTGTGCAGTGCTGTACCGTGCTGTTGGAGGACGGACTCAGGGCAGTCCAACTCTTAACGGAGTCCGGGGATGGCTTCCAGGGTGCTTCTTCGTCTGGTCTTTCTGTCCCCCAAGTGAAACCTTACCATCGTGCTTTGCCTTCCTCGCTTGCGTACTCGCCTGGCGTGTCGCGTTTGAGAAGTCGTGTCGTGCATTTCCAAACTTATTGATTTGTCTCCCGTTTCTCGTTGTCGGCCGACATGTGTGGCAAGGTCTGGAACGCGCAGCACGTTGTGAGCGACTGTCAAGGGCGGCGGGACGGGACTCGAGTCGAGACGAGTCAAGCCGCAAGTGCTTGTCAGGTATTCGTAAACGCAGAGGAGGCGGGCGCCAACGGGCATTCAACTAGATGACATTCAGGACTGAACATTCCCGGGATTTTAATGACGGACAACCGCTTGCCGTGGCCTAGTGAAGGGACCAAGTCCAGGTGCATTCCCTTCGCGCGTCTAAGCACTTTAGGCTTTTGTGCTGGCCAGGGTACAGAGTACCTCGGGGACTTTGTGGTGCAGGGCAGCCAAAGAAGGCAGTGGTTGCAGCGATTCGCAATTTCGACGGGCATGCGCCGCACTTTCTGCGAGATGACAGAGACATCGGGATATGATATTGGCGGCAGGTCTCGAGACTCGAGTGTTCGTTTTGGTCAAGAGACAAACATGATGGTTCTGAAAGAGGTCAAACTTGTTCAAGAGCGTTGAGGGAGGGAGGAAAGGGCTCAGTCGAGTACCTCACCTGGGCTACTTACCTAGAATGAAGTAGGTATCCGCTGTAAGGTGCCGTGCCCGAGCTGCAGATCGGACAAGTCGATATGGGTCGCTTGCCAGGCACGCCGGCGACATGACTGCAGAAGGTGACCTCATGCTGTAACCTGCCGTTGGAATCATCGCCCGTTGCTGCTGAGCCACTGGCACCCCAAACGGCTGACAATGGGATAGCAGGGGACAGGATAGAACAGGATGGGATGGATGGGACGGGGTCCGCAAGGTAAGATGGGATGGGATGAGATGCCTACCTACCTGACCTACCTTACCTATGTTAGGTACTTGCCCAGGCAAGATGGCTGGCTGGGTTGTGCTGGGCTGTGGAAGCAGAAGGGAAGCCAATGTAGCTGTGCCTGCGCGTCTACCTCTGCGTCCGCATTTGCAATTGCTTCGGATTCCATGTGCGTTTGAGTGCAATGCGAGGACGATGGTGTGGTGTGGTGTGGTGTGGTTTGGTATGGTGCCTGCAGTGCAGTGCAATTGCAGTAGTAGGCAGTAGTAGCTACCTTACCTACCTCGTTGCCCGTGTTCACTGCCCGTTCCTGTACACGGAAGGGCGAGGGACGGATGGGCAGCTCCACCTGCGATCTCACTTGCTCAAAACATACATATTCCCGGCTTCCTGTCCTGCTCCTTCGGAGCGTTCCTCCCTCTCCCTCCTCCTCCCTTTCGCTGCTTTTCCCCTCCCGTGTCCCTTCCCGCCTCCGTCAACCCCTGCCCTTGCCCTTCCAATCGGCGGCAGCAGGAGCAGCAGCAGCAGCAGCAGTAACAAGTTAGTCGACACGCTTCCAAGAAATCCACGACCTGCTACGAATAATTCGACAGTCCTTCCACCCACCCGTTCTATTACATCCTCCCTTTCCCCTCCTTCCCGACTGCTCCTCATATCCCCTCGCTTTCTTCTTCCCTCGTAATTGTCTAATCCGTTTCTTCTTCTTCTTTTTTTTGGGGGGTCTTTTACTCCCGTCCAATTGATCACTCCTTGCGTCACCGCGATCGACAAGTCGCAACCTCCGCGGCGCTTGCTGCTTCGCCCAACTCGACTTCGGCCCTGCCAACCGCCCGACCTTTTCCGCCGACCCGCGCAGTAGTATCTGGGCTACGCGCAGCCGAACCGTCTGCACTTGGTCGCTTTCGCAGGCACCGCCTGAACCTGACTCAGCCACCCGCGCCAATTATCGCCCGTTCGTCTTGTCTGAGCAGACGGCGACTCAAACGCGAAACATCTCCCTTTTTCTTCCCCTTCCCGCACGAACTCCAAACAATTGACAACCTGCCGCACCGTGCCACTTGCGAATCAGGCCCTTCGTTGCCGCCTGTTCCACGTGCGTGTCGCCAACTTTCTTCTCAGCGGTCTCATTGAGCCCTATCGTTGGCCGCCCGCCGATTGAAGCCGATTGAAATCGACAGCGCGCTGTTTCTAGTCGCCTGCGCGTTGAAACACACCGTACTCGGCCCTGCAGTCTGCACTTTGCGCCAACCATGTATTGGGGGTGAGTTGTCCAACTTTTGTGCTTCCTCTCCATTTTGCCGAGCCAACTACGGCACCTTTGCAGATCGCCAGCTCGCGGAGGGATCCTGCAGCCGTGGCACCCAACTGCCATTCTGTACTTGAAATCTGCACCCCGTCTTCCCGCGGCTTCAATTCGCATCATCTCTCCTACTCGTGCACTTGGCGATGCGACCTCGCCACTTCCTAGAACCATCACTAACATGTCGTTTCCCAGTCGGTTTCCGCACCTCTTCTTGAGGCAGGAATCATCTTCCAATGGGACCGTAGCTGCCACCACGCCTGCTGCAACGACTCCTCAAACGACTCAGCAGCAAACCACACCTGCTGCGGCGACAACAACCCCTGCCGCTGAGACCACCACAGCTGCTCCTACAACGCTGATTACCACAACTGCACCTGCGGCTACATCTCAAGTTCAGACAACAACGCAGCAACAGGTTCCGACGACCACGACACAGCAGACCACCCCGCAGACAACCACGGCCGCTGCTGAAACCACACAGCCAGCAACATCGGTTGTCGCAACTACTGTTGTGATTACCCCAACTGTACCCGGGGGCCAGACCAGCACAGTCATCCAAATTATTACACAGACCGAGGCTGCCAACCCCTCCAAGACGACCGGGAGCACCTCTGCATCTGCCTCTTCAACGAACGGCGCTTCCAACTCCGGCAGCGATTCGAAAGGCGGTCTCACCGATGGAGGTAAAATCGCTGTCGCTGTGGTTGTTCCCATCGCAGCTGTGGCGCTGCTCATTTTGGCCGGTATTTACTTTTGGCGCAAGAGGAAGCAGCGCAAGCATGCCGAGGAGGAACGCCGGAAGGAGGTTGAAGATTACGCCTACAACCCTAACGCGGACCCCACGATCCCATCTCTTGGTGATGGCGGCTCTTATGAGATGAAAGAGGATGGTTCTGCTGGATACCGCGGATGGGGCACCACCACTCTGGCCGGATCCACCGGACGCAAGGCATCTACGACCATGTCTGGAGGCAACACAGGTGCGGCTCACTCGGACACAACATCACCAACTCGCGGCACTGACACCCGTTCAGGAGAGCCTCTGATCAACGACGGCTCATACTCACCCGACGGCGAGATTCTTGGCGCCATGGGCCCTTCGGCCGCTCTGAATCGTGGACCTGGCGTCCAGCGTGGCCCATCAAACGCATCGTCCTCCTACAGTGCTGGCAACCGCTCCGATACGTCTGATGGTGGCATCGGCATGGCCTACACCGGAGGAGGAGGAGGCAATGCCTACTACGATCAGTATGGCAACAATCCTTACTCCGATAACCCGTACGGCGATCAGCGACCCACCGAGCTTCCCGGCCAACCCGTAATCCGTGACAACCCGGCTCGTCGTAACACCAGGATCGAAAACCCCTCTCACTACCCACAACAACAAAATGCGGGCATCTCGCAGAACTTTTGAAATCTAGCGAGTCACGCTAAAACTTTGTTGATAACCAGTCTGCTGGGGTTTTGTTCTGAAGATACCCACCGTCCCCACCAGGCAAACGATGCCCAAGTCGGGAAGTTAAAACGGCGTTACGGAATCACGGAAATCATGGCATGCGACAGCACCTTTGCTGCTCAGAGAACTACACTATTAATATCGGCCATCTCCGCTGCCATTTGCCTGCCATCTACAGCTTGCACCATATCGCTTGCACGGAGCTTATAATCACTCATTCGACGCACATGATTCATTTCTTCATATACATACACCAGTTGGGGTTGTTCCGGTCAAATCCTCCACGGTCGCAGCCATGTTGCTTCAATTTAATCGGTGTACATAGAGAGAATGAAGGCACACAGGCTCTATGACTTGTTGCTCACAGAGAAGCACGTGTTGCCTGTTTTGAATGCAAGGCATTGTCCCGCAGCAAAAGTTTCTGAAGTATCGGTTTAAAATGGATGTTGGGTCAACCCAGATATATCGTATGGGCAATTAGTTTTCTAGATATGTATGAAATGATGTTCCTTTGTCAAGTCTGAACAATTCTGTCGTAGACTTGCATGACATTTCGTGGATGCAACATGTCTTAATGTCATGAGTACCTGTTCCTCTTAATGGGTGTCGCTCTAGGTAGACCATTACAATCATGTCCCGTCCTCACCGGCAAGCCCCATGCCCTCGCTCAACCCAACACGATCCCACCAGAATCGGAATTGCCGCACTTCCGCCTCTGTCAACGCCCTCACCCGTGCGACAGTACCATGCCTTCGCTGCCCACGACGGCCCATGAACTCATCATTCCCCTCCCCAAAGACGACAATCTTCCCTCTCACCTCATCTTCATCATCCTTGGGAACGTGATCGTCCGCGCCTCCCGGTGAATCACCGAACGGGGACACAAACCTCGGCCAGGTGATACCGCTCGAGTTGACCAATTCGTTGGGCCCTTCCTCGGAATCCTTGCTGGTGACGAAAGACGACCAGAATCCGTGCATGGCCTCGCTCGTGGCCCACAACCCGGGCGTCCGGTGCGGCGAGAGTATGTCACTGTCGCGAGTGGCGGCGGGGACGTGGTCTCCGTGGTTCGCGGCGCCGAGGTCCGCGTGCGCGGCGTATTCATACACCCACACCGGCCCGCCCTTGCGGGACGCAAAGTGGGCTGAATGGATCAGCGGCGCAATATAGCCGTAGTGGCCGTATGCGTGCGCCAGGCGGCGGAACTGGGCGCCGTGGCCGGGCGTTGGCGGGGGTGGGTAGCTTGAGGCGGGAGGGTAGAGGGAGTCCAGTGTCTCCAAGTCGGAGTGCGTCAAGGAGGGTATCAGGGCGGCGAAGAAGTCTTTCAGGGAGGTGGGAGACGATGCGGACGCCGGGACGAAGGTTGTGCCTTCGGAGGAGTTGAAGCCTGTAATGAGAGGTGGAGGCGAGGGAAGGTCCGGAGACAGTGTCGCCCATGTACGGATGGGCATGCCTGGGATGATTGCGGTCTCGGTGTCTACGTTGCCGTCGATGGATGGCTGAAAGGGCCATTGGACCGACGGCGCGTTTTCCGTCCAAACGGCCACTGAAGCTTGGAGGAGCTTTGGCAGCGGTAGGGAGCGGAGGGCGGGGAGGATTTGGTCTTTTGGGAGATGAGAGAGGGAGGCGTATGACAGAAATTGCGCAAACTGGGCTTCGTGGCGAGGATGCGTTGCTGCGAGAACGGAGCGGGCTGTTGCCGCGCCTGATTCCATAATCGCGCGGCGGAAGAGCTTACGCGAGGGTGTCGAGAGGAGGTGATGGCCAAGCTGGGGGTGTCAGTGAAGCCTTCTAGGTGTGAGATTGCGAAGAGATGAACGAGGGGTGGCGTACTGAATGTGCGCCGGCACTGAAGCCCATCACCGTGACATCTTCTGCGTCGCCCCCGAACTGAGCGATGTTCTGGTGGACCCAATCCAGGAGGGACCTCTGATCATGGAGCCCCAGATTGGAGATGCCCTCGTTCGCTGCGATGCCACACGGCAGAAAGCCAAGCGGTCCAAGACGGTAGTTGAAGCTCACAGCGACGATGTCCTTCTTGGCGAAGGCCACGAAAGCACCGAGATTCCTGTCTGCTCCTCGTCCAAAGTTGAAGGCCCCGCCGTGGACATAGACCAACACCGGGACCTTCTTCGTGATCTCTCCCGAACCTTCTGAGTAGGGCCGAAAGACGTTTGTGCTTAGACAAGCCTCACGAGAAGGGACAGAAGGGTCTGCCGTTGGACAGGCGGGGCCGTATTCGGAAGCGTCAAAGGTCTCCGAGGATGCCGGCGGGTGCGATGCGCGTTGGAGGCGTTGGGCCTCCGCGTAGGGGATGCCAAGAAAGGCCTCTATTTCACGCGGAAAGTCCTCATCATCGACTATCTTTCCAGTGTATATGCCCTGGGTTAGGCGGACGGTAGGCCGTCGGCCTTCAAAACTTCTCATGATCATGGCGGAGCAAAAGGAATACGATGCCCCTGCTCGTATGTATAACGAATTGCGGTGATGTAGACTGTCTCACAATTCGTAAGCGTCGTTCGAATCAGGTATTTGATCGATATTTTGTTGTATTGAAGGATCCAGGTACGTCTCCCTCACAAAGCTTGTGGGAATTTGAAACCAGGCGACAAGAGGACCGAGACCAAGTTTGCGGGATGTCGTTGGCGGGCTCCGCTATCACCCGGCGCTAGTCCGACCGAGCGGCTCTGTCCGTTTTCCCCCCCGGTACGGCACGCCGGAACCGCCTGGTCAGCCAAGCGAGCTGGGCGGTCCCAGCCGCAAAATTTCTGTTGTGGCTGAAACTCGGGGGGAGACACGTGCCAGCTGGCTGTATCATATTTACAGGAGATCTCATTAACAGCAAACCGGACTGCCGAACGGTTGAAGTTGAAACAAAGTTTGAGACTGGGCGACTGGTATTGTTGCTTTGTTTGACAGCTCTCACCAATGTTCTTTGCCTCATCATACTCGCTAGTGTTCTCAGAGCCGCTATGATAGGCCACTGGCTACACACGTTGGAAATTGACATGAGGTGGTAACAGGTTCTCTTACACGGTAGGCTTTAAAACTACAGACCTTTCTGACTCCAAAAACTCCACACAATCCAATGCCACAAAACCCAACACGGGCTAAACCGCTTGACGGGCCGCCGCATTAGCTGCTGCCAGCTGCTTGCGTCGCTGCTTCTCAGCCCACTCTCTGCTCGCTTGTCTGGAGCGCTCGGCGGCCTGCTCGCGAGCAAGCTTGGCATTGAGTTCACGTTCACGACGTTCCCGCTCCTTATCCTCAAGGTAACCGTTGTCCCGCTCAAAAACCTCCCTGCCCTTCATCTTTTGCTGCTCCAAGTCCTCAGCAGATAGCGTGCTACGCTTGCCCATGCTGGTAGTAGAAGTAGAAGTACCACGGCTGATTTGGGAAGTGACGGTAGCTTGGGACAGGCCTCTGCCTCGAGCCTGTGGGGATCTGTTTGATGTGGTCCTTGTAACTGGCGTTCGCGGAGTCATAATAATCGATGAGCGCTTGGAAGGGCTTTGCTCAACCTGGGCTGCCTCGCTCGACTCAGAGGCTTTGCCCTGGCGAGCACGACTAGTAGCAGTCTCGCGGGGGTACGAAGCTGAATTCAGTTTCGCCCTGATAGGACGCGCCTTGAACTCGCGACGCTTGCGCTCGTCCTCCTCCTGTTGTCTGAGCCTGGCTTCACGATCCTCCCTCTTGCGCTTGGAGATTGCCTCTCCCGGAAGCTCAAACGTGGGTCGAGTCAGTGCTTTAGTTGATCTCCTTCTTTGAGGCGCTGCTGCCGCTGCGGCTGCAGCCTTGTCCTGTGCTTGCTGCGCTTGACGGGCTTCGCGCTGCTCCTTTAGACGCCTAGCGACGGCCTCTCCCGGCAGCTCAAACGATGGCTTTGTTGGGGGCTTGGTGGATTTGATTGGTGGCAGCAAGCTCGTTGGCCGAGAAACAGAAGATCGGGTCGGAGTTGCTTTGGCCGGAGACCCCGTAGCTCTCTTGTCGTCAACGATTGAGACAGACTTTCTCTGATTTGGGCGGGGTTTAGAGGTCACAGGTTTTGGCCCGGCACTGCTTGGGCCATGATTCAGTAAGGAGCCGTTGCACCGGATGGCGGAATTGTTCAACGCAAGCGACCCATCGTTTGCTGCTTGGTGTCGCCGGGTTTTGCTAGGTGGTGTGATGGCAGCATCGACAAGCTCCAATTGCTCTTCGAGTCTATCAATGGCTTCTAAGGAGTCCTCTATGCGCGACTGCGAACTTGCAGAAGTCGATCGTGAGGGCGTACGCGGAGCCTGAAAACTGCTGTCGTCTGTAGATACGGAAATGACTCTGTCCTTTGAATGCTCAAGTACATCAATTGAGGACTCCTTCCTGTTTTCAGTTGCCTTGGCTGAAGGATCCATCTGGTTCGGCCGGGTCTGTTCAACAATGGTGACCGTGATACCTGACTGCGATGTCTTGTTCAATGCGGTGTCGTTCCCCACAGGCGTCGAAGAAAGAAGTCGAATGACGGGCTCGGCAATGGCCATGGCTTCTTCCACCTCTGAGTGTCGATGTGCGGGCTGTGACACGATTTCCTCACGCCCTAAAGGAGTGGCTAGAATTCGGTAGGTATTAGTCGGTTTGCCCTGACTGCAGACATGAGAGGTCGAGCCTTGGTTCTGCGCCAAAACATTGCAGCCGAAGCTCTGCGATTCATCCTGAACCCGACTGGGCGGACCAATTCGCGAGACTGGGCCGTCTAGGCCAGGAACCGAAAGTACGTAGTCATACTGACCTGCCTTGTGTCGTGCGATACTCGACTGAGTATGTAAATCAATACTCAGCGGCCGTTGGTGATCAGGAATGTTAAGGACAGAAAAGACTACGGCGGTTAGGATCGATGGTACATGAGGAAAAGCACAAAATGAGCAAACCTTCAGAGGGGACGCTGGCTTCAAATGAGTCCTGTGCCTGGCTAGCAGACGCCGTTAATGCGTTTGTTTCAGCCAACGAGGGGACACCCTCGATCACTCGAGGCGGCTGTGCAGGGATTGGTCCTTGCGCGTAAATGGTCTCAGCTGGGCAATTGTCGCAGTCTTCGGCTTCTTCCTTGACAACCTCGAGGAGTGGGAAGATCTCGGTGTCGACACTGTGAACAGACAATCGAGTTGGACGGCTGTGGGAAATGGGAAGTAATGATCTGTCGCCGCGATTCTTTTTAGGGCTATAAATATGCAGCTCCTTAAGTTTGTCGGTCAAGTGGTCAATGAAGTCGTGGGGGCTTCTCTCAGTATTAGTGTCATGTCTGTCAAGGAGAGCAATGTTTGCGTCTGTTGAAGCATGTTGCTTGGAAATATCCGTGGTGGCTGTGTCGTCTTCAACGACGACGAACTCGTGGGCGTGGGCCCGGGCCCTGGATCGAGGTGCACCGCGAGCCATCGTGCCAGCAGCCAGACCAATCTCCGGATCCGACCTGAACGTGGCAGGGAGCTGCCAACCCAGGCAATTGGACGGGCAAGGGAATGGCGACTTTGGGGACCAGTTGGCTATCTGGAATTCGCAGGCAATCTCGCTTCGGGACAGCCGGGGTGCGTGTAATATTGGCGGGGTTATTTGGCCTTGTGAACTTGGGACAGCGTAAGGCGGAGGGGATGTCGATGAAGTGTTCGGGATTATCAGCTGGAAGAGAGGATGGAAAAACCAAGACAATGCGTATTTGGGCGTATACCTTTAGCTGAGTTTGATGGGAAACCAAGATGAGAGGGGGTTGACGCCGGGAGAAACTGAAGAAGTCTGGGGTCACGGCTGGGAGGGACAAATAAACACAGGCAATGATCAATGGCCAAGAAGTCGGCGGAAATTGTAATCAATACTGCACTTTCCTCTTCTACCTAACCGTCAGTTCCCATCACACCAGCCAGAACAGGACAGGACAGCGCCAGTGTGTGTGCACAGGCGCAGGCGCCGGCGTGACATGACGGATATTGGGTTGCGGCAAGCTCGTTTGGCTTGCTAGGGAAGGGTGGCATGCCCAAACCACAAGGCAAGGCCCCCGAGGGATGAGGCAGCTACCTAGTCCATCTCGCTGTAGCAACGTGCAAGTGCGACGACTCATGCGACTGTACAGAGCATCCGTAAGTGCAGGAAACGCGTGTCTGCCCTCAGACGCGTCTTTCCGTTTGGACCCCGCACGCATTTGTTGACTTCGGTGGGGCCTTTCCGCCCAATCCAATGTCATTCCAGACATGCAGGAGCTGGACGCTAAGCGGCGCCAACACATTGCTTTCCGTCAGCTTCAGATAAAGCAGGGCATGCTACTTCCAGATAGCAGACTGGGTACGCTATGGTGGCACCCTCCATGCAGAGTTGCGCTTTCGTGACAATATCAGTATAGCCATATTGTCCAACAGGACGTAGTGGATGGCCGCCATGGGTACACGTGCTAGGCGTGAATTGGGAGTTGACCTGACTGAATACTCTATCCGGAAAAGGATAGGTTGGCCAACGTTGTACGGTAACAGTCAGAGCGTTGGGCATCTAGGAGGATGATGCGGCGTAAGACATGCTTGCTTTCTGGGTTGATTCGTCCGGATTGGTGTGTCGCCATCATGACAAGGTCGACGTGTTCTCTGCGCTCTCTGCCGCGTTCTCGGCCTGCGCCTGCAACGTCGGTGCATGCTCCGTTGGAATGCGAACCAACGTTTGTGGAAGAGGCATGCTGGGGTCTTCATTCTCTGATGGTTCGTCTGCAGGTGGTTTTGCAAGTTTGGCTAGGCATGTTCGTGAGCTTTATCGGACATCACCAGTTGCTTGCGGGCTGCACATACCAGAAGCCATGTTGATGGCACCCAACACGTTATGCCAGTTCCCAATGACCATGGCGATCGCTAATGTTGGTTAGCCCTGACATTCGATTCCACAGTGCTGTAGAAAGCGTGCTAATGCCCACCTTCCGTTCCGTTTGACAGCGTAGACAGCCTCTGCTCCAGAGCTTCCATCTGGCCTGCAACTGCTGCGCTCAGGTCGCGAAGCTCTCTCAGGTGTTCTAGCTCTGCCTTCTTCTCTGCAATGCGCGCAACCAACATGGGCGAGGGACCGGCCGAGGAGGCGTTCTGCGACCCCGTGCCGGGCAGTCGAGTCGAAAGCGATCTAGTTGGGTACGACATCGTGGATCCGTCGATGAGATTGAAAGAGTCGACCTGATGGCTCTCCAGAGTCGGCCTGCTGCTGTCCCGAGAAACTCTGCAAAGTGCGTGTGGTGGCGGGGTTGTTATCTCGTCGAATGCAGCTTCCTCACAAAAAGTTATGTGAGGTGAGATGTTCGTAGATGCACATGTAAGAATTGCACGCAGCTGGGCAGTGGGAAACTGGAGCATGTTTAGTGGGGTCTCTGGCCCTGCGAATGCGCCCCCAGCAACCCCTCATCCTGGACTTTGTTTACACTAGTCCAAATCAGGCCGAGTGTAAATAAATGACACTCGGTAAATTTTCTCTCACTCAGACCCCCAGCGTCACTGTCCCAGCCTCCTCCGTATCGAGCTTCGCTTCGTTTCTCAGCTTTTCATTCCTCAGTTTCTGGACTCGTCACGCAACCGCCACTCCCTCACCCAGAATGCACCATGGCTCGACTCAACGAGCCTCCCGTATCAGCAGATAGCATCGACATATGTATGTTCTGTTCATTTCTTCAATTTTGTTGGAGCCCATCAACTAATGTCCTGTAGTGCGCAGGAAGCTATTGCGCCAGAATAGAGATCTCGCAAAAGCAAATGCCGTCCACTTACTCCGCATCCGTACCATCGAAGCCGACTTCGCGCGGTCTCTGTCCGACAATCTTCGACTAGAAAGCCGCATTATTGAATTAGAAAAGGAGCTGGAGGACAACAATGCCAGAAGGATAGCCGACCACGCTTTGGACATCAGGTCCAGACTCGAGGCACAGCTCTCAGAATGCATGTCTGTTCTTTCCAGCCTTGGCCAGGAGCCCCCCACGAAGAGGCACGCGAGTCCCAGGGGCAGAAGATCATCACGAGCAAGTCTGCCGCTTCAAAGCCCCCCTCGAAGACGTCCGCCACGCGAGTTGATGAGGGAGGCAGGGGCCCGAGCGCCGGAGGATGATAAGCTGCCAACGATCGCAGAAAACAAATCCTACCCAAGAGCAACTTTGGAGTAAGTCAAGCAACGTCCGCATTCGCAGAAACCCCTTTTTGCTGACGCGTCTCGCAAGTCGCGAGCAAATCTTGGCCCTTTGCTCCGAAGCTGCAGATACGACCGACACAACAGACTCGCCAGAGCTCGGCCCCCCGCCTGTGTCTCGATTTGTTGACGGCGAAACTGTCGATATTGGATCACCCAGCAAATCCATCGAGTACGTTGAGCCGGAGCCACTCGCGCACAGTTCTCCAGCAGTTTCACCGATCCCGTCACCGGCACCGGCGCCAGTCTCGGCGACCAAATCAACACCAAGGATGGAGAAGAACCTCATCGTCCGCCCCGACCCTGTACCTACCATTGAGGCATCTGAACCTCAGAGAGTGCTTCAGAAAGAGAGCCCCATCTTGCCTCCTGTCGTGCCCAGTGTATCTGCCAAGACAGGCTCCAAGCGGAAGTACAGTGTTGGGGAGGATACAAGTAAAACAGGGCAGCAAACAGCTGAACCGCAAAAGTCGAAGAACATTTCGGAACGTTCGCTCATCGGACGAGATCATCAGACCGGGAAAACATTGAAGGAGCTGGCAAGCATCCGACGTGAGACGAGGGAACGTATGGCTCCACCCGTCAACCCAAGGAAGCCTTTGTCAGCAAAAAGCACGAACGATGACGTGACTTCTCCGATCAAGATCGCAAAGGCTGCAACAGCAGAGGGCAAAATCGGAGTTGAGAAGGCAAAGCCGCGGGCAGCAAGAGAACGAGCGGCGCAAAAGATCAAGGAGACTGAGGCTGGGGAGAACGACGTCGATAATGCGCCTGTTGAGATACCCATGGCAGCCCCATTGTCCCCGACTTCAGTTGTCAATGTTCTCCCTAGCACAGAAGCTGTTCCCCTCGAAGCTGCTTTGCTTTCACCGGCTTCCCCAGAGCAGACGTCCAGAATGAGCCTTTCTAGTGTCAGGGACACTCCACCGCCTGCCGAAATATCCTCTCATGGAGAGACATCACGACCAAGCAGGCGAGCTCGATCCGCCGTCAGTTATGCTGAGCCCAACTTGCGAGACAAAATGAGACGTCCGACCAAGGAGCTTTATGACGCAGTGTCTGGGCAGACTAGATATCTGCAGCGCGGTGGGAGCGCCAAATCGGACAGTGCCACGCCAGACGCCACTGTCACGATCAAGCGCGAGTCTGCCGACGGCGATACGCTAAGGCATATTCCATCTCTTGCGCCATCCACAGTTGATACCCCACAGAGAACGTCAAGCCCTGCTGAGATGACAAGCATGCGATCATTGGACACCGAACCTGGCCCAGCAAGGCCTGACCGTAAGAAGCGAACATCATCGATGATGTCGAGGTCCATATCCGAGACTGAAGAAGAGACATCGGCCCGACAGGCTCAAATCGCTTCTCCGGGTCGTTCCACTTCATCATCGTCCACCAAGGTCGTCGATCCTTACGATTTCACCACCTCGACCCCGGGAAGTGACAGTTCGCGCATCATTGAAATGAAAGAAAGCGCGCCGCCAGCAAGACAATCCAAGTCTTCGAGACGGCTCTCGTCCGTCGTGAGAGAGGACTTCAAGATTGAAAGCCTTGAGGGGGCCGAGCGAGCAAAGACTGGCGTATCTAGGAAGAGGGCTTCGATGGTCCTGCCAAAGAGGACCCGAGCGGATACGGAGGGCTCCGAAGATAGCAGCTTCGAGAGCCTGGACGGTGACATTCAGGAGTCGTCGAAAATCTCTGTGAGAAGGAGGAGGAGCATGATGTTATAATGACTTGACGGTTGGCAAGCACCGGTGTTTTTGGAGTTGGACACCATCGCAGATACCACTCTGATTGTTGGGTTACTGTTCTGTATTAGTGTTTCAGTGGCTTCATTGTCTGGTTACCGAGGGGGGAAACAAATGGATTCCCGTGCATATTGGCGAGAGCATCAAACATGAGTCCATGGATACGGTTGGCTGAAACCGTTATTATTATAATGATCATCATTCGCCTAAGAATTCGTGTGGTCTTGATTCATGACGTCAGCCATCGGTGGCTGAACCTCCCGTTTGGTTAAATTCAATGTCTCCTGCAGCAGCTCGTCTTGCATGATGACGGCTCATGATGTTGCAGACGGCTCCACGGGCTTCGTGTAAGTCACCTTTTCCACCGCAACATTCTCATTTCCCTTGTCGTCCTTGCGTAGTTGGTAAACATATAGAGTCAGCGAAATGCCTTGAACCTATGTTGACGATCAGCAAACGTTCCCGCAAGCCTCCCCATAACACGGGGGAATTCCACAGATACGTACGTCCATCAGGCAGAAACTTGGGACGGGTTCCTCGCCGTCCTTGCCCCAGCCTGCGGTAAAGGCGCCAGTAGCACTACCGGGGTTGACGAAGAACTTGTCCATGTACTCGAAGGCATCGAACTTATGGGTGCCACCCCAACAGAGAACGTCGACATCGAGCTTATTTGCCTCGGCGAGGAGCAGATCGGGTTCGTTGGAGACAAGAGTGAACCCCTCGAGGAAGCCAATGCGTAGAGAGCCGTGAGTGACTACCTGGGTTAGGGGCAGGCTTGTGGCCTCGACATCGTAACGGCCCTTGACGATCTTGAGGTCCGGAGCGATGGTACGGAGGTACTCGTACGTGTGTTTGTCGGTCAGGTTGCCCAGGCAGAGAGTTTGGCCAATCTTGCCTGGAGCAAGAAGCTTCTTGAACTGCAGTGGTTGTTGGTGTTAGTCCAAGGTCGATAGTAGCTTGCAATACATTAGACGAGCTGCGTATACCTTCTGGGGGATATCAAGAGCGCGGTCTGGGATGTGCAGGTCGCCGATGACCAGTATTAAGAAAGCCATGGTCGTTAGGGGTGTGTATAGTTTTCGATTGGGTCTTGCGATGGTGATGGAGTCGTAGCGGCGGCGCGTGGGACGCTGGCTGGGACGTCGGGAGGTCGGTGGTTGCGCAGGAGGGTCGCGCGGCCGATGGGGAGGCCGAGGGCCGGACACAGTTCCTCTTCGGAGGGCGTCTGATATTGACACGCTGAGCGGCAGATTATATTCGCGACGGTCGATGGTCGGGCGTGTTGCTGTTCCGGCAGGCGACGTAATATCTTGCGGATCTCCAGGCAGGTAAGGTAGCAGCTTGGCTGCTTGTCGGAGGCACTTGGTAGCTTGCTGCGACCGCTCTCCTAGCCTCAGTTGCAAGTGGGGACGTCCATGCGTCTACAGTGTAGGTACGTATAGTCAAGCCACACCATCTGTCGAAGCACCACTTCATCTGTGGCTGGCCATGGTTCGGATGTCTGCCCGATGGGGGTTAGTGCTCGGGGGACTCGGAAGACCGCCGATGTCGTCCGGTGTACATACGCCGCCAAACCAGTCCATGCGAAGAAGCTCTCAGTCTGATTCCAGCCAGCTTGTTTGTGTGTCGTGGACTGATGCTCCTCAAGCGCTTTGAACGGTGGCCTCCACTTTCCGACACCAACGAACGACGGCATCCGCCCTGACTCGAATCCCGAGTTACCTCCAGTACGACCATATCACATTGTGATTTAGTCTTCGCGTTAATAGTGTTCACCAGCCCATTGTCTTTTGAAGACATACTGTAAGGACCGCTTTTCTTTAGACGGCAGGACTTGCAGCAGCATCTTTTGCGCTCAATTGCTTTTTGCTAGCAGGACAGGGGAAAGTGAGAGAGGGAAAAAGATCCATCAGGGGGATCCAGCTCCGATTTCCGCCCGCTTAAACTCAGTGTAATCTTCTGTCCTTCTCCTCTTTTTTTTTCATCTTCTCCCGCTGCCACGGGAATAAACTGAGCAAAGTTGTAAGCGTAACCATTCCAAAACGTGTCTATCTTGCCCAATCCCGTCTGGTCCCAATCCAAACATCCATATCTCGGTTCCGTCCCGTCTGAAAGCGACGCTCGGCTTACGTTCCGACCTCTGACGCCACAGGCACACATGCACGTTCCCCTACGGCGGCTCCAGCTCCCGCTCCTGCCTCTCCGCACTCTGGCAAAGGGGGGGAGAATGCCCCTCCATAACCTTAACAACCCCTCATCAGCCCGGGTATCTCTCATCTCGAGGCACTTGCGACAGCCGGAACCGCAGACTACTTCAACTCCTGTAAGTCCACCTCACAACCATTAATTGATCACCTCTTTTCTCATCCATATCTGGTTCGGCAGCAGCAACAAAGACTACATTCCACCATGTCTACTCAACCACCCCACCCCACGCTCCTCATCCCCGGGCCCATCGAGTTCGATGATGCTGTCCTGCAGTCCATGAGCCACTACAGGTCCGTGCTATCATATATGCCCATTTCCCAGGTGGAGCTCCACCTGAACTGACCTCCAGCTCGCGATGATCCATTGCTGACCAGAAGTCGACTTGCACAGTGAGAGCCACGTCGGCCCTGGCTTCGTCAACACCTTCGGCGAGGCGTTGTCCATGCTGCGCCAGCTCTTCCAGACTACCGATTCCTCGTCGCAACCCTTCGTCATCTCCGGCTCCGGCACCCTTGGCTGGGATCTCGTCGCTGCCAACCTCGTCGAGGCCGGCGAGGACGTCCTCGTGCTAGCCACCGGCTACTTCAGCAATGGCTTCACCGACTGTTTCAAGACCTACGGCGCCAACGTTACCGAGCTCAGAGCCCCCGTTGGCTCCCGCCCTCAGTTGCCCGAGATCGAGAAGGCCCTGTCCGAGAAGAAGTACAAGGTTCTGACCGTCACCCACGTCGATACCTCTACTGCTGTGCTCAGCGAGCTCAAGGACTTGGCTGCTGTCGTCAAGAAGGTGTCTCCCGAAACCCTCATCATCGTCGACGGTGTCTGCAGTGTCGGCGTTGAGGAAATCAAGTTCGACGAATGGAAGCTCGATGGTGTCATTACCGCTTCGCAGAAGGCCATTGGCGTTCCCGCTGGTCTGTCGATATCCATGTTCAGCGGCAAGGCGATGCAGTCTTTCCAGAACCGCAAGACCCTGCCGGCGTCTTACTTTGCCTCCTTCAAGAACTGGACTCCTGGTAAGCCACAGATCTAGAAGTCGGTTGCGAGTCCATTGTTGACCATGCGCAGTCATGCAAAACTACGAGGCGAAGAAGCCTTCCTACTTTGCGACACCCTCTCCTCAACTGATCCACGCCCTGCACACCGGTCTTACCCAGATTCTCGCCAAGCCTCTGTCTGAGCGCTTCGCCAGGCACAAGGAGGTTTCCGACAAGGTCAAGAAGGCCGTTGCCGATCTTGGACTGAAGCAGGTTGCCGCAAAGCCCGAAGACCAAGCCCATGGCATGACCGCCATCTACCTCCCTGAGAGCGTCAAGGCTACTGATATTCTTCCCAGCTTGGCCAAGAAGGGTATCGTGTTTGCCGGTGGTATTCACAAGGAGATTGCGCCCAAGTACATTCGCTTTGGACACATGGGCGTCAGCGTTGTAAGTTCTCACTGTACGGATACTTGGGCAATGGTATACTAATAAACACAGACGGATCCCAACCGAAAGGACATCGACAACGCCATCAAGGCGCTGCAGGACAGCCTTTTCGAGGTTGGCTACCAGAAGCCGTAAACGGCGGTTTATAGAAGGGTTTGCATTTTGTACATCTCAACTAGACGGTCATCCCTAAGGCAGTAAAGAAAGAAAGAATCATTTTGTGAAAGACTATGGTCGCCTTTGAAACGTTTGGTGAAGCAAGACTCAACCAGCGCTTAAGGTGACAGGTTGTGATAGTTACGTGGGAACGAGTGCCTTGTTCGGACTCAATGGCAATTGGGGTCTGCTCAGAGCCGCGCGGTAGCGGATGAGGTTCGCCCTCAGACTAGTATGGTAGGCAATGAATCACCTTGAACGTTGTCGAATCAGCCCCATGATCGGACGATAGAGGATTTCGGCCGAGTCTCCTGTTGGCGGGGTTTGAGGAAACCATAATGTGGCACCTAGGGTGATGCAAGAACGACCGCATACGTGCATCTATGCGTGCGTCTATTGACATGATCTATTACTAATAGCGATCCGGAGACCTCCTCGGTGTGCTGGGCGCATTGTTGTCCGATGAAAGCATGTACTGTGATCATCGCCAAAAAGGTGGGGTGAGGAGGGGATGAGTAGAAGGCTGGGAAGTCTACCTGAATGTGTGACGCGATGTATCAGTACATGGTGCCGTAGCTGGACAATATTCTGAGGCGCAGGGTAGTAATTGGGCGAGGATGCTCCGATGCCATCCGATACTCCAAATTTGGAGGCGCCTTGAGGTATGCTGTCACGGCTGTTCAAGTGTCGATGCGACGGGACTGGACAGGTCGGCCGGGTCGTCGGAGAGTCCGAGGGATGCACGAGGCAAGAGCTCGGTGAACAAGGTGAACAAGGTGAAGAAGGTGAGTCCTGCCTGGCTATGACGCGCATCCACACAGTCGGGTGTTTTCTTGAGTCGGGTGCAGTGGCCGTAGGCGTGGCACACCAGCAGGCGGGCAGCCTCACAGCAGACGGGCCAATATCAGAGGAAGGGGAACCCGGAGCTCAGCTGCAGCCCAGTTCGGTTGTTGCAGTTGGCGGTCGCAGGGTTCACCGCGCCAAGTGATTGCAGCAACAGGCCCGGTGGAAAAGAGGGGAAGAGGGGTGCCTGGGTAACGCAGGCCGAGTGGATGAGGTGGAAAGAAACGATCCAATGCCAAAGGGGAAAGAAAGTCTTCAAGGCCAGGCGGTAACGTGGTCCGGCCCAAGCTTCTAGCCCATTCGCGACTTCCCGTTCTGCTGAGGTGCTGTCAGGCTACCCAGGTAGGCACCTAAGGTACCCAGGGAAGGTACCTAGGTAGGCTGCTCACCTCAGTGCTCTGTGCTGGCGGTCTTTAGGTGCCCTTGGCTCCGGTCCCAGTGGCCCAAAACCAGACCTATGGCAGGTATCGATACCTGTGGCTGGTGGAGTTAGCGGGCGGCTGACAAAATTGGTTGTCCCCCGCCATCCGCCTCTTTCGCTCTTTCGATAACCAACCTATCCTCGCCTTCACGCCAGGCAGACTCTCCTCACCACATATTCTCCTCTGCGACCTCTACCTTCTCTCTCCTCTTTTCCTTCTCTCTCCCCCCCATTGCAACAATCTCCCGAATCATCACCAGCTGGCCTCGTTCCGTGCTGGATTTACCGTAGCGCTCGCAGCACTCTTGCGCCGCGCTCTCTATTGTTTCCCTTCCTCCTCATAGAGAGCCTGCGACCAGTTCCCCCTCATCCGTTGCCTCTTGCGATCGAGATCGACCTTCGACCACCCCGCCCGCCGTACCGCACCACACGCGATGGCTATTACGATCCCGGAGCTGGACGACCTCGTCCGCTCCTTCTACGAGGGCCGTGGCGAACAGGTGCGCAGCTTTTTACACATTCGAATAAATAGAGATTTTTGGCCCGAGGCTGACCGACCATTTGTCCCATACAGCAAAAGCAAGCGCAAGCTGCACTCAACCAGGTACGAACCCAATCCCCTCCCGCCATCGTATCCTATTTCAAGTCTCTGACTAGGTACCTTTCTTGCAGTTCAAGGAAGATCAAGATGCTTGGCTCCTCGTCGACAAGATCCTCTCCGAAGCGACCTACCCCCAAACAAAGTGTATGCCCAGCATAAATTACCCTTTTCTGGCCTTGCAGACCAGCTGACGGATACAGACTTGGGCTTGCAGGTGCTCGACAACGTGATCATGACGAGATGGAAGGTTCTCCCAAGAGATCAGTGTCAAGGTTTGGAGCTTGCTACACCGCGCTTTTACACCGCGACTGACCCAACCAGGTATCCGTAACTTTGTTGTGCAGTTCATCATCCAGTGCTCCAGCTCCGAAGAGACTATGAAGGCTGAGCGCACCCTGCTCAACAAGCTCAACCTCGTCCTGATTTCCATCCTCAAGCAGGAATGGCCCCATAACTGGCCTACCTTCATCAACGAGATCATCACGTCGTGCCACTCGAGTCTATCCATCTGCGAGAACAACATGGTCATTCTCCGCCTGCTGTCTGAAGAGGTCTTCGACTACTCCGCCGAGCAAATGACTTCCGCCAAGACTCGAAACCTCAAAACCACCATGTGCGCCGAGTTTTCTCAGATTTTTACCCTCTGCCAGGAGGTCCTTAACACCGCCGACCAACCGAGTCTCGTCAAGGCTACCCTCGAGACATTATTGCGCTTCTGCAACTGGATCCCCCTCGGCTACATCTTCGAGACCCCCCTGATTGACACTTTGCGAACCCGATTCTTGCCTGTTCCCGAGTTCCGCAACGTTACTTTGCAATGCTTGACGGAGATTGGCGGTCTGCCGACCGGTGGAAACACTTACGACGAGCAGTTGGTCAAGATGTTCACTGAGGTCTTGACTACCATCGCAACGATTATCCCCATTAGCCTGGATTTGAAGTCGACATACCCCAATAGTAACTCTAGAGACCAAGAATTCATTCAGAACTTGGCTCTGTTTTTGTGCAATTTCTTCGGGATGCACCTCAACGTAAGAATCGCTGTGTAGCTGCTGATAGACCCAAGCTGACACTCTAGCAGCTTATCGAGAACTTGCCTAACCGGGACTTCCTTACACATGGCCACTACTACTTGATCCGCATATCCCAGATCGACGACCGCGAGATCTTCAAGATCTGCCTCGACTACTGGCTCAAGCTCGTTCAGGAGCTCTTCTCGGAGATGCAGCAGCTCCCTATGACGGAAGTGAATCCCTTGATGGGCATGGCTGGAGGAATCACTGGAGCCGGCGCGCCGAGTCCGGACATGCTGAACAACTATCCGCTGCGCAAGCACAAGTACAACGAGGTCTTGTCGAACCTGCGTACAGTCATGATTGAGAAGATGGTCCGTCCCGAGGAGGTTCTCATTGTCGAAAACGACGAGGGAGAGATTGTTCGTGAATTCGTCAAGGAGAGTGACACGGTACAACTCTACAAGACTATCCGAGAGTGTTTGGTGTACCTGACGCACTTGGACGTCGTCGATACCGAGAACATCATGACGGAGAAACTCGCCCGTCAAGTCGACGGTAGCGAATGGTCATGGCACAACTGTAATGTGCTCTGCTGGGCCATTGGTTCTATTTCTTTGGCTATGAATGAAGATACCGAGAAGCGCTTCTTGGTTACGGTCATTAAAGATCTTCTTGGTCTCACAGAGATGAAGCGTGGCAAGGACAACAAGGCTGTGGTCGCGTCCAACATTATGTACATTGTTGGACAATACCCGCGTTTCCTGAAGGCCCACTGGAAGTTTCTTAAGACGGTTGTCAACAAGCTCTTCGAGTTCATGCACGAGTCCCACGAGGGTAAGTTGGAATCATGCACAGTCGCATCGGCCTTCTCTTGCTAACACATTATAGGTGTTCAGGACATGGCTTGTGACACGTTCATCAAGATCGCAAGACAGTGCCGTCGTCACTTCGTTGCTCTTCAGCCGTCTGAACAGGAGCCATTCATCGAGGAGATTGTCCGCAACATGCACAAGATCACTTGCGATCTGTCCCCCCAGCAGGTTCACACTTTCTACGAGGCGTGCGGCTACATGGTGGCAGCCCAGGGCAACAAGCACCAGCAGGAGCGGCTCTTGAGCGACCTGATGGCTATCCCCAATGCTGCGTGGGACGAGATCATTAAGCAGGCGCGGATGAACCCGGTCATTTTGCAGGATGCTGAGACTATCAAAGTCATCGGCAACATCATGAAGACGAACGTCTCAGCCTGCACGTCTATCGGTCCCTACTTCTACCCCCAGATCGGCCGCATCTTCCTTGACATGTTGCAGATGTACCGAGCTACCAGTGAGCTGATCAGTGAGGCTGTTCAGAAGCAGGGTGAAATTGCAACCAAGATGCCCAATGTCCGTGGCCTGCGAACCATCAAGAAGGAAATCCTCAAGCTGGTCGAGACCTATGTCGAGAAGGCTGAGGACTTGCAGTCCGTACGTCAGCAGATGGTCCCTCCCCTGTTGGAGTCAGTTCTCGTCGACTACAACCGCAATGTTCCCGGAGCTCGCGACGCCGAAGTGCTGAAGGCCATGTCTGCCATCATCACGAAGCTCTCTGCCTTGATGGAAGACCAGGTTCCTAACATCATGGAGAATGTGTTTGAATGTACGCTGGACATGATCAACAAGGATTTCTCTGAGTTCCCCGAGCACCGTGTCGAGTTCTTCAACCTTCTCCGCGCGATCAACCTTCACTGCTTCCCTGGTATGTGCAACCTCCTTTGCCTCGAAGACTCAAAACTAATTCGCCTAGCTCTGTTGAAATTGGACAACCGCCAGTTCAAGTTCGTCATTGACTCTTGTTCCTGGGCGTTCAAGCACGATAACCGTGACGTTGAGGCTGCTGGTCTTAACATGTGCCTTGAGCTTATTAACAACATTGCGGACAAGACGGACGTTCAAACCTCCAATGCCTTCTTCCAGCAGTTCTTCATCACGATCCTGCAGGATGTGTTCTTCGTTCTTACCGACAGCGACCACAAGGCCGGTTTCAAGACCCAGTCCATGGTCTTGATGCGCATGTTCTACTTTGTGCAGCCCGCTGACGGATCTGCGCCCAAGATCCAGGGTCCCATCTACAGCCCTGATCAGGCTGCTGCCGGCACCTCAAACAAGGAGTTCCTCGCTAACTTCGTGGCCAACTTGCTCCGTGGTGCTTTCCCCAACCTGCAACCGTACGTAACACCGTTTGATCAGATAACCCAGAGAGCGTGCTAACAACAGTGTTCAGTGCCCAAATTCAGACCTTCGTCGAGGGATTATTCACGCTCAACGTTCAGTATGATAAGTTCCGCCTGAACTTGCGCGATTTCCTTATCTCTCTGAAGGAGTTTGCTGGCGACAACGCTGAGCTTTTCTTGGTGGAGAAGGAGCAGCAGGAGCGGGATGCTAAGGCAGCCGACCTTGAGCGCCGAGGCAAGGTTGGCGGGCTTCTCAAGCCATCTGAGCTCGAGGATGACGAGTTGTGACTTGGCCAAGAGTTACGAACTGAGTATGCCCCGACATGGAAGCCCGAGAACGTGGACACGACACCGAAGGATTCTCAGGGGCAAGGAACCGATTTTGATGAGTGGGAGCTGTACGGGCTCTGACCAGATGCCAAGCGTCATGGACTTGAGCACGACTCGCCAATCCCTGGCTCTGCGGCCCGTTCTAGCCCTCTCATTCTGTAGTGATACCATGGATAGATGACCTGATGATTGCAGGATAACCTTTCGCCGCTTTGGGCCCCCTGGCATTGATACAGATAGGGCCGACTTATTTCCTTTCATCCATCTGGCAACGGAAAATGGTGAGGAGGGTATCTGCAGATTGCGCACCACCTTCCTCTGAGTGTTTTCTCGGAGGAAAGGTGCCGTCACTCGTGGAGCCCACCAAGTGGCGAGAGGAGGTTTATGATAACGGGTGGTTAAATCAAAAGAAAAAGCTATACAACGAGAACGGCGAAAAGCCGGATGTAGTGGTAGACAGCTTTCTATGTAGGCAATTTCAGCAGATAGATTGCATGATTACCGCCGCCTTTCGCATCTCCGATGACAAAGTCCTCAACCAATGACTTCTGTTGAAGACGTTAATAGCCATGCAATGTAAATGAAAAGACGCTCATTATAGTCATTGGCATGCTCAGATCGTGTTTTTGTTTTTTCTTTCCCTTTCGAACTTTCAGTGCAGCTTTTTACCGCCTGCTAGCGTACCTTTCTAGGCTTATTGGTGAAGATGAAGAATCATGAAAGAGTCACAGGGAAACCTATGGCCAATTCATGCGAATTGTATGAATTGTGTTCGGCGAAGACAGGTACATTTCCCGGTGCTGACCATGGACGACAGACGATTGACTGAAGTAGGCATAAGCTCGTAGCTTCGGAGGTATCCCCGCCCCCCACTGCTCAACTTTTTAGTGGAGATCCAATGGCTCCCAGCCAATTAAAAAACGCTATAAGGACTCCGATCGCAACTTTTTTTCTTGGGTCGTCGAAAGCAAGCGTGAGGACGGAATCTCATCCTGTATCCAGCTCAGCTTCAAGACACCATGGCCCGGATAAGCCTGAGAACAGGCCTCGATCGCGATGTATATCAAATCGTCAAGAAGCTGGAGGATGAGCGCCAAAGCGAATGCTCCAAGAAGGGCGAAGGGAAGAAGAAGCCAGCGAAACTGACAGTGACGGGCATCTACGAGAGCATCAAGAGGAGTAACAGTAGTCTGAGCCGACAGAAGCGAAGACCACTCGAGGATGCCATTGAGAGGGTTCTAGATTTTCGGAAAGAGGAGATGGAGCAGGATGACGACAGCGACGACCTTCTCGAAGCCCAAGAACTGGCAGAGAAGGCGTATAAGGTGAGCGCTCATCCTCCTCCCCCCCCTTCTTATGGAATGAGCGACTCGCTGATCGATACAACAGGAAGAGGACCGCTTTTTGCTGAACAGGCAGATGACGAAACATTGGAATGTGACCCCGGCGAGTCCTGCGCCGGCAGTTACGGCACAGGGCTCCGAGGGCAAGAGCACGAAGAAGCGGCGCCTGTCTCCGGAGCCTGACGCAAATGGCGCGGGAGTGGAAGCAGGAGCGGTCAGCGATGCTTCGGCCATTGTAAACTCCAAGGCCAAGGCTAACGGAGCCGAGGCAAGGACGACAACGACGACAAAGAAGGCACTGAAGGCAAGCAAGTATGGCCCCGAGCAGATCCCGCATGGCTCCGTAGTTCTCGGGGGAGTCGGAGGCATCCTACGGGAACTAAGTCGTTATGTATTTGCGCGTGCCCGAAAACCAGAAGATTTCCTCCCCTTTGGCGAGCAACCGGTCGGAATTCTCGTCTCCGGCCCGCCGGGCACTGGAAAGCAGTCCCTTGTTCGCTCGTTGTCATGGAGAACGAGGACGCCCGTCGTCTCCCTAGGACGATACCTGGCCGAGACCCGGTCCCCAGAGAAGGTCGCCAAGATCATAACAGACGTGATAGACGAAGCGAAGAAGGTTGCGCCGTGCATCCTCTTGATCGAGCACTTGGATGAGTACATGGCGAAGGGCAGCAATCAGAGTGAATTCGATCACGAGGTCATCACACAGCTGAAGCTGAATATGCGACGTCTACGAGAGGGAGAGGAGATTGGGGGTGGGCCGCGGGTCGTGGTTGTGGCCACGACAAGCAAGCTCGAGTTGATTGATCCTACTCTCAGGAGACCGGATTATTTCGCCCAGACCATCACAGTCAAGGTGCCCGATACGGATGCCCGCGAGGAGATTTTCAGGGTGTTGACGCGAGAGCTCGAGATCCCTCCAGAAGTTGACTTCAAGGCCTTGGCTGTCCGCACTCACGGCTTCGTGGGAGACGACATCCGTGCCGTGGTCCAGGTCGCGAACCGAAAGGCGAGCGATCGCTTCTTAGACCTGGAGGATGCGAGAGCGAGGAACACGCTCGAGGCGGACAGGATGGACATGACGGACGGAAACGACGTGAAAACCTGGGACAGAGTCTACGATGACACTTGCCTGTACCACGACTACATCGAACACCCCGCCTACTCAAATCCCACCCGCGTACACGTCAGCCAGCAGGATTTCGTCGATGCCATCGCAGAACACACCCCTTACATGCGCCGGGAAGGTTTCTCCTCCATCCCCAGCACAAGCTGGTCCGAGGTGGGCGCCCTGCACTCTGTCCGCGCCGCGTTCCAGGTCTCCATCGTTCGCCGCATCAAGGAACCTCTCCTCTTCCAGAAGTTCGGCAAGCAGCGCCCCGCAGGCGTCCTCCTCTTCGGTCCCCCGGGTTGCGGAAAGACGCTCGTCGCGAAGGCTGTCGCCAACGATGCCCAGGCAAGCTTCATCCTCATCAAGGGCCCCGAGCTGCTCAACAAGTACGTGGGAGAGTCGGAACGGGCCATCCGCGAGCTGTTCACGCGCGCCAAGTCCTGCGCGCCGTGTATCCTCTTTTTTGACGAGATGGACTCGTTGGTGCCCAAGAGAGAGAACACCACCACGGAGGCCGGCGCCCGTGTCGTCAACGCACTGCTCGCTGAGCTCGACGGCGCCGGCGACAGAGGCGAGGTCTACGTCATTGGTACCAGTAACCGGCCCGACATGATCGACCCCGCCGTCCTGCGTCCCGGGCGTCTCGACAAGCTCCTGTTTGTCGACCTCCCTACCGAGGACGAGCGCGTGGATATCCTCCGCACGATTGTCCGAAATGGCATCGGCGGCACGGATGGGGCAGAGATTGAGAGCATCGCGAGAGACGCCCGTTGCAGGGGCTTCAGCGGCGCCGATCTGTACGGTTTGTACAAAAACGCTCTTGACGAGTGCGTGTTACGGTATGAGGGCGGAGAGCCGGCCCTTACGCGCGACGACTGGGAGGCTGCGCTGAACAAGACGAAGCCCAGCGTGCCGAACCCGGAGACGTACAGGAAGCTGGCTGCGAAATTGCACCATCAGAGTTAACGTGGAATTTGATGCAAGGTAGACCTGCATAGACAACAGTTCGAGCAATGATGATAATGATGGGGTATATACGCCCCGATAGTTCCTAGCAATACTTTCTCAAGCACCTACATCATGATGAGTAGGACATCATGCGATGCCCTGAGGATCCCAGGATGGGGGAGCGAGAGTTTCTTTGCATACAAGCCGTATGCGATGCGACGGCGATTGGCCATTGAGAGTGGAGAAGTGACAATCACGTACCATGAATCGGGGAAGAACCATGGCAAAACGACAACTCGAGCCGCATCCTCACAATCGCGCCAATCCGTACTTAAGTCCCTTTGTCTCGCCAGCTATTTTTGCAAACGGCGGCTCCTTTTCTGTAACCTGTGCCTGGAAAAGTTCCACTGATCATTGCTGGGATATCGATGCAAGACGAGTCATCTGATTGGCTCGAGACAAAGGAGAAATGCTGTTCGCATCACATGAGTAAGCAGGTGCTTTTTTTTTTGTTTTTTTTTTTTGTTCCTTGATCTGGATTCCGCGTGCGACTCGATTTCGGGACTAGCTAAGCGGGTTACATCATGGACGAGTCTGCCGATCGCAAGCCGAAAAAAAAATAAAAAAATATGTTTGGTGGTATTACATCTTCATTGTTTTGAAAGAGGAGAATGTTCGAGATGAAATGGGGGCTATTGATGAAGCCCCAAAACACACTGTTCTAGTGGTCTATGATACAATTCGCAAATCGCCAATCCGTCTAATGCAGTCCTATCGTTACACGTCACCAAATTTATTTCGTAGCATCCTTGAGGTAGCTGCACAGCACATGTTAGCAATCGAGTCCAATTGTGTTGATTTAGAGATAGTTCCGGGTGGTGAACGCACGCAATGAGGTCGTTGCGGTCCTTCTCCTTCTTGAGACCACCGAAGGCCATCTTGGTACCAGGGATGTACTTCTTGGGGTTCTCGAGGTAGTCGAACTGTAAGGGATAGCGTTAGTGAATGTCGCAGGGCGAGAGAAAAGCCGAAGTCGCATACCAGAGTCTTGTCGTTCCACTCGATGCCCTTCTGCTTGTTGGCGTCGGTGTAGGAGTAACCCTCGACGGAACCGGTCTTACGGCCCCAGAGGCCGTGCAGAGCAGGGCCGATCTTGTTGCCGCCGTCCTTGTCGACGGTGTGGCACTGAGCGCAACGGGTCTTGAAGAGGTTGGCACCCTTCTTGAGATCACCTACATTGCCGAGGTCAGTGAAATCTGCTCACATGCTGTGTGCTGCTTCCATGCGTTGTTAAGGCAGAAAATCCCCAAAAAAAAACCGCCAAGGTGTGTCTGCGCTGGAAGCCAACGTCTCTCGTGAGCGAAATTCGCTCACCGATGGAGGGCGATCGTCACCAGCTGCCAGTTGACTTGTCGCGCAGCCCCATTCCCACCCAGTTGCCGGTGACTCCCCTGCAAGCGAAGGGCCCCAGGAAAATGGCGCATGAGATTGGGATGTGATCGAGATCAAGTCGCACATGATAAAGGGTTCGCAGGTGGTCGATTCGAAGGGGAAAAGACCCGGGAAACAAGTCCGTGTCGTTTTGGGCTCATCGAAAAGCGTGCTGCTGCTCAATGGCTCGTCGGCGACAGACAAGAAACACCTCGGCGTGGGATTTCGGGGATTCGCCAACCACGCACGGCTCAAAGGGGAAGCATGAAGATGCGCGCGCCGCAGGAAGGAAACTTACCACCGGCCATTTTGACGGATTAAAAGTGTTATTAAGGAGAAGAAGGTCGAAAGGGGGTATCAGGTAATGAGATGCAAAAGAGAAGAAGTCTTTTGCAAAGTCGTCAAGGTCGTTGAGGTTGGTAGATGTTCAGGAGTGTTGGGAGAGAAAAAGGGAAAAGAAAAAAAAGTTTTGAGAGAGGATCGGGCCAGGGAAAAAGACGAGACGACAGCCACGGCCACGGCTACGGCCACCACGCTCAACCTAAGACTATCCGATTTTAATTATGACAACAGCCGGCAGCAAGGCACCTGCGCCTGGAATGAGCTCACTCACTCGCTCTCCCACAGTGCACAAGCCACAGCTGTGGCGACGCGCCCGCCAATCAGATGTGCAGCATTGCTAAGATGGTCATGCGTCCGGGGTCGCTTACCCGGGCAAAACCGGATACTGAGCCGGAACATCACTTGGTCCGCTGCGCTTCGGTGTTTCCAGCCCAGTGGTTGGCCTGGTGCGCTGGTGAACTGGGCGGGCCAGCGGGGACTTTTTCGCAGTCTCTTCCCTGCCAGTTGACGAGTTTTTTTAGAGCCCGCCGCCGCCGCTTGTTGGATGTCGTAGGTAACCCGCCCCGTCCATCCCGTTTCCCGAGCTTCGACTGGGATTCCTGAATATTCCCAGCAATTCCTGCGTATTTTCCCTCGGCGTCTGATACCGCAGAGCCCGGGCGAGTCAATCTCGCAGTCGAATCGAGGACCTCACCGATACAGTGTAGTGGGGGGGAGGACCACTCTATTCTCTCGCGAGAATCGAACATAGCGGATGACGACGAGAGGTTGTACCCCGGGATACGTACCCAACGCGGTGGAAGTTCGGCGACCCGTTGGTGTTGGTGCGCCTTAGACTCTAACTTGGCTTCGGACGGACGCAGCTCCACACGTCGCCGGCCGCGAAGAAATTCTTCCTGGAGCTTCTTTTTTCCAAGCCCCGACACATAACCCACCGCCCGACCGCGCACCTGATGATCCCGCCGATCCAGCCCAGAGCCTCAATGACGCCGTGAAACGCTTTCACTAGCCTGGAACCTAAAAAAGTCTCATATGCCCAGCTGACCACGTCTCTCAAACCTGCGGCTCCCGGGAAAATATCTTGTGTGGCGGACATCTCAGCACACGACACATCAATGACGGCCTCAACCATCCTCCCCAGGTTCCTCCTCCCGGCCCTGAGCCCCATGTGGCGCGCCGGGGCAGTGAGAGCGACCGGCGGCCCAGCTCCGGCGGCCTTCCGTGGCAATGCCGTTTGGATTGTCCGGTATGCCTCGACCGGGGGCGCGAAGGGCCCTATCGTCCTTGAGAAGCCCGAGAAGTTCAATCCACCCTCACACGGCTCTCGCTTGCCCAAGAAGGGTCTCCCGAAGCATTATGGCGGCCAGCTGAGCTCTCAGGAGGTGCGCGCGCAGCGTGTAAAGGAGTATCCGGGCATGCCAGCCCCTGAGGGAACGTGGGCGCATTGGTTTGTGAATAATAAGGCCATTCACTTGTTCATTACCATGGTATGATCAGGACCCCTCCACGGACCCTGTAACAGGCATCAACTAATCCTGGGACCAACAGGGAACCCTCACAACATTAGCCGTCACGAGCTTGTACCTCAACTTCACCCACACATCCCCATTCAAGCACCTGCTCCCGCCCGCCTCCGAATTCTGGAGTCATCCGGTCGACTTTGTCCAGACCTGGATCAGAGTCCTCCAACTGCACGAGCGCGACCGCAATGAGAAAGCCATTGCCATGCACACGCGCCACACCGACGACGTTGCCAAACGTCAATACTACCGCAAGGAGCACGGGCTGGACAAGCAGAACCCCATTGCCAACTTCTTGGGCATGAAGGAGGGTGCTGACGAGCCGGCGCCTGTCGCTGACGCTCCACCTGTATCCGGAGCTGTTGAAACGACGCCCGCGGAGGGCGAGCCGAGGAAGAAGTGGTTTGGCATCTTCTGAGGTATCATCAACGCTAGTCAGTCAGTATAAGAGGTGGAGGACCACTTTGTGATATACCCTCGTAAAAGAAATCTGTACAACATGACCTCTCTCAAACCAGAACCACCAGTTGGTATCATGACTTTTTGTCTTCCCCCCTTGCCTTCCTGATGCACATTGAAAACGTAAACAAATACCGGTCCGATTACCCCCGTAGCATTAGGACAAATCCACTCCAGCGACGCCATCCAGCACCTCGTCTGCAATGCCTCCCTTCTCCAGCACCTTGGCAATCATAGCTTCGAGTACGTTGAGCTTGGTACCTCCTATCGGCGGCTTCCAGACGCCCTCTGCAGCTTGGCCGTCCGCATGTGGCAGAGTCGGCGGCTGCTTCGAAGGCGTGCCAGCGAGACCGGTCGCAGGATTGTTTGAGTTGAGCACACCCGGCGCCGTCAGTCTCGAGGGCGGGTCAACGGTCCTGACGGCAAGCAGCTTCAGCTCTCTGCCCGCACCATCCACTTCCATACCTCCAGCTCCGGCGTCGGTCGCCCTCCTCTCCTCCGCGACAGACACCGCCAACGCTGACTCGGCGACCGCCAGCTCCTCGCGCGCAGGGTCGAATATGATGTTTCCTCCCACAGCGATAACGAGCAGAGTGATAGGTGGCCGCGTGGTCGAAACGCCGCCACCGTCGCGAGGATACAGGAATGTCGAGGCTTCCCAATCGTCATCAAACATCGGGTCTTCGTCACCCTCTGACTTGAGACGCGGGAGGCGGGTCGCCAGCAGCGCGATGTGGGTTGTGAGGGAGAGCAGAGGTAGCGGATAGGACAGGGGCGGCGAGATCAGGAGAATCTGTAGGGCAAAAAGAAGTCAGCGACAGTGGCCCAGAATGATGCGAGGGGACTACAAACATCAAGATAGAGCTTCCAATGAAATCGGTTGTTGATGCGCAGCTTCTTTGAGAACTCTCCGTCGGCGAGCAGCGCCTCGCTCAGCATGTTTGCCAGAAAAACGGTCGCGGCGTCATCGTCTCTCGATCCGGGAATCTCAACCGTGATCTCAAGCCACTCATTGCGACCTCTTGCCTCCTCGCCCGCCTCTCTCAGCTTTCTCGTTTCCTCGCTGTCGTCTTCGCTGCCGAAGGGGCTGGGCGTCTTTTCGATTTCAGCCTTGGCGCCCACGATTGCTTCGGTGCCGTCGGCGAAGCACACACGTGCGCTGCCGTTGGTGCCGGGGAGAATGCCCGTCTCAGCAGTGAGAGGGCGGAACTGGTTCGCCTTCCGGCCGTCTGGGCGAATTGGCGGCGTGAGAGAGAGCGTTGAGTGAAGGTAGGCAAGCTCTGCCGGGGAGAGCAGAACCTGCTGGGCCGACGCCATGGCTTCTTTTGAGAATGCTGGCTCGCTACTCTGACTATATTGCTCTTTCTTCCGGCGTCGTCGTCCGGTAACCTCCTGCAATTTTGAATTGCTGGCTCCGTAGCGAGTTGTTTGGGAGTTTCGGGTTCGAATCGCGGCAGGTAGTCGTCGCAAAAAGTTGCATAGACCGTGATTAGATTTCACCAAGCAAATGTTCAGCAGGGACACTGCAGGGATTTGGGATGGTGGGGTCCGCGGGGTGTGGGGCCGACCGGCGCGAGCTGTCCGGATCGGAACGACAAGCTATTGAGATGGTTGGCTTTCTTCTGGGGTCACTGGTGATTCAAATGCTACGTGGACAACTCTATTTTCTTTCTTATTCATGGCGATGGATTCGTTCCACTACCTCAACTGTGATAGTAAAGGGCCACCATATGCTGTTCAATTGAATTGGTATGTTGAGGTAGTCAACTTAACGTGGCGTAGATGGAGTGAACAAAATATTGTCTGCTTGGCTTTGTACGTCGCTGGTTATGTCCTTGTAAATCGTAGGTTTACTTGGATGAAACCACAGACAAATTAGACGAAAATGGCAAAAAGAAATGGTGACTACATCTATATTGAACTTGACCTTTGCCTTCACAATTGTTTACAGGATGGGGTATTTCACGCAATACCATTTGAGCAATTTGAACAGGCTAAACAAGATCTGCCAAGACATATTTCCCTTCGGACCGAGACAGTATTCTTATCTCTTGTTCCTGGGCTTTCCTGCACTCGATTGGTGGAGTGTGGAAGCGTACGTCTCCTGCACTGATGGCACAGTGTGTGTGACGATCACTTTGAAGAAAACTGAACGATTCAGAGTAGGTATGAAAAAACCGTTGAAAGCCCTTGAGAAGCTTGCACTTCGACGGTTAGAACTTTACAGTTGACATAAAACGAAGAGAAAAGTTGCCCATGTGGCCAGTCACACACTCTGATTGAAAGCTGCATACCACCACATTTGGTTACTCAGCTAGCACATATGCTGTTTCGTTCTACAGGACCCATATGTGATGCTCACGATATTCAAACGAGACATATACCTGTTTTCACTAGCTTTGCATCTACTAAGACGAGTCAATCAGCTAGATTATTGGAATTTTTTCATGTGCAGACGTCTAGAAGCCTTGGGTGTCCTCGCAAAGTCTCAATAGACGCTACTCGCTATCTAGCCCATAGTGGCAACATCATGCTGAATAGCCATGCTGCAATGCTGTTTGCTGCTGCATGCTCTTGACCTAGAAATTCGGGTTCCAGAAGTCGATGACAAGTCCTTCCAGCAGATCAGGCCCGAGGGCCGCAATCAATTCTGCAATGCCGGCCTTCAGACAGCCACTCGTTCCGATGTCCTGGCGATGCCATGCCACTAGGTCGCCCGTCTCAAAGAGCATGCCGGACCCGTCTATGCGTAGCTTGAGGTGATCCATCTCGATCAAAGCACGAATCTCGTCCAGTGTCATGATGCCTGGCATGCCGGTGTTGAACAAAAAAGTGTCGTCTTCACCATCATCATCATGGTCGTCGTCGTCGTCATCGTCATCGTCGTTTTCATTATCCACTTTGTCGTTGTCCTCATCCATGCTATCAGAGCTGACCTTCGTTTCACCACCGTCATTCCCTTTTGCAGACCCCCGACCTTGGCCTTCAGCCGACGGGCGTCCCTTTGCTTCCCTGGAAAGACTCAGGTAAGCCTTTTCGTCGAGCAAATCCATCACGCGTTTGTCCATGGGGTCCCATGTCAGTGTCTCTGGGTCCAAGATGTACTGAGGATTGTAGTCCATCTTGTATCGCATCTTCGGGCAGGTATGGATGTAGAAACCTGGGTACCAGTAACGATATCCAGCCTCCCGAGCCAAAGCGATCTCGCGAACGGCACCGAGCTTTCCAGGAGCATGCTTGTGGATAGACTCGTGGTAGAGAAAGTATACGGCGCTGACGCAGTGAGGAAGCAGATCCAATACACCGATAGCCACTAACTTGCCATCTAGCCGGTAGCATTGGTGGAACGAGCCCAGAACCTGGTCCTTGCCGTCGGCCGTCTTGACGGTTTTGCGTTGAACAGGAGACTCGCAAAGGAAGCGCCTGAACCCACGCCTTGTGATGTCTGCGGGGTCCTCCTTGTGCACGATACGTTGATAGTTCTCGTACACGAGGTATTTCTCCTCGGTGAAGTCATCTTCCTCCAAAGTCACAGTAAACCTGTGAGCGGGTTCGGGCGGTACCTGCAGGGTCTCATGCTCCGCTTCATGGATCCTCTCGATCAGGTCAAACTCTGAATCCCGTTTCTTGGCCTGCTCGCGTGACCGAGGGTGGAGGCGGGCCGCTTCCGTCGTATAAGCCTCGCCAGTCACGTATTTGTTGAAACGGTTCACCGTTTGGCGCTGATCCCGGGTTGGCTTGAACTGAGTGGAGTCGAGGCGCAGAGTGTAGTGAACACAGCACGCGTGGAGTTGATCTGGCCGATACAGAGTAGTTCCCGAACGCCTCCAGTAATGATCCAATAACGTCTGATAGTATTCCGGCGTGAGTAATGTGGCCTTGGCGTAGTAGGAGAAGCCTGGGAGGTCGACATCCATGTTAGTGCTGATCAAATCATCTTTCTCAGTTATTTCTGCAAATCGCCGACAACACCAGCCCACGTGCAGCCCACGTGAGAGTGGTATGCCACAACGCAAAACAACACGCCATATCATTGCAAGATATAACATAGTGACCCGAAGTCTCGGGCTTATCACGAGGGGGGAGCAAGGGGGACGTGGGATGCAATTCACGTTTTGACTGACTCTTGCCTTGGCGGCCACAATAACCACAACGCGACGAGTTCGAATATCCTAGACTTACGTCAGTAAAAAAGCAAGGCTAATGGCTATGAAGTCCTGTTTCTCAGATGACGGAAATCCTTCAAAGCTAGTCCCTCAATATGGGCACTTGCTCGTGATATGTTATGTTGCTAGATTACATCTCATTGTCTTGTTGGACGACATGACTTGTTGTCTCTACAGCGACGGCCAAGAAATGAAGGACATTCGAGTGATTATGGAGAAACCACTGTAGGGAACGCGGCTCCAACATTGATAGCAGCTAGCTGAGCGAGCGTGAAATAGACTCCCTCAGTCAGACCTGCGCGCACAGCCTGCCCCCCCTCAACGTTGACGTCGCCAAGTTGACGTCTCCGTAATCAGGCCAGACTTACAGCGAAGCCCTGTACGGTGGTGTGTGACACAAGAAATGATAACGGAGTGACACTGACGGTCGCAGAGACTCGAGGGGAAAATGACGAGGAAAAAAAAAAAAAAAAGAGGGCAAAAACAACTAAGGCAGATGTGCAGGTGACGGGAGGTCGTTTGGGGGCTTCCCCATAAAATGCCACGAGCCAACGGCAGGCTGGAAAGACTGCACGGGGGCGGATGGTTGGAGGAGAGAATAGGATGAACGACTCACCGATTGGAGTTATATAGGACAATGCATCACCAGGGGTTTGCATGCTCGTTGCGTCCATGACTGTCTGCTGCAACTTGCGCGCTCTAACGCACCAGGGAAGCAGCCAGCTGGACTAGCGCTAGACAAGCACGGAACGTTGGCTGATGGTCGTTGTAAAAGTGAATCAGGTATTCGGGA